CGACTTCCCTTGCCACATTTACATTCAAAGCTTACTTAGATTACCTAACCGCAGCTTGTAAGGGTGCTACCCCTACACAGATCTACTGTCTTCAGAGACAGTTAGTTATACGGTAAGTAGCTTGTTACCTACTTTGGTTAGCCAGTTAGTTCTGCGATAGAGTTGGCTGTCTTGACCATAGAGGTGTATATATTGTCAATATATTTTGTATCACCAGATAGGGAGATGGTGGCTAAGACTCTGGAAGTGAAATCATGTCCGGGTTCACATACCTCGGATAAACTAAAAGAGCATCTAACGGAGATTGCAGATGACTGGAGTATGGTTGTTGAGGTCCGCGTCTACTTGATGCGATGTCATGGAAGGCCGAGGTCTTGTGTACAAATTGGCAGTTTACGTAAAAGATCCACTGGCAATTGCTCAAATATAATTATGTCACATGTCAACAGAAATTTCACGTATTTCATAATTAGTTAGAAATTATAATAAATTGAATATAAACCACTTTAAATATATTTTTATTAAACATTGAAAATATTCAAATAGTGCTCGAATGCTATTCGAATACAAATTTTTCAAGACCCGTCGAATATTCAAATAGTATTCTTGTTCGAATATCCGAACACTAGTATAATTTTGTTCGGATAGTAGAGTTTCAGCCTACTCGACTCTGAATTCGAATGCTGGGGGATCTTTTACCTGTCCTATTAATGTTAATGTGTACAGGTGACCTTAGTTTTCTACAAAATACAAGGGATTAAACACATTTTGTGCATAATATGTACACTGTTTGGGACAGGAATCAAGAAAGAAACATTGTATAGCACTGAGATTATACAGGAGTCAGAATGATGTGTGTGAAATAGTTTTATTAAACGTTCGCTTCCGCCGAAGTAATATCGCCGACAATGATGTCCATGTGCCAGGTTTACATATGTCGTTGCCAAGGGATTTGCCATTCACTCAGAGATTTTCGATGATCTGTGTTCTGTGTTTTTGCTGGACAATTCACGCCTGCTACACTATTTACATGCTGAGAAAATGTCAAAATATATGATTAATATAATCTCTTTAAATCACTTCATTAAATGAAAAGATAACATTAACTTCAATAAAAATGGTATCTTGTATGCCGTCTTTATAAGCCAAGTCGGCGCAGAAAAGTAAGACGTTAAACCCCACTTCATTTCGTTATCCTTTATTCTACATTCATACAATTTGCATCGTTTTCTATTTAAACACTATTTAACTTTGTATGAAATAATAAGTTCAATAATAAGTTTAAATAAATAACATAAGTATTAGGTAATTGCCGCCTGAGAGCAACACTTTATTTCTACAAACAGACAAACAAATTGCTATAAATTTTTAATTATCTCAAGTTGCATAATAGACGTCCCCCTAATGAAATCTACGTACTAGCCTACACTCATTCTCTCTCTCTGTATTGAAGGACTGCGAGTTTGAATATCCTTTAGGGTCAATGGAATTGCCACTAGTCCATTCACTTGATTTGATACATACGTTTGTTGTTTGAAATGTATGTCTATATTATGTTATGTTCAATCGTTTGTCTTGTGTGATTGTTTATGTGGTGCGGTCTTCTTGCACTTACTATTATACTATCAAGGCATTTTAAACTACGTTACTTGGCATAGGATATGCTTTGCCATTTACACTTTAGACTTGTGACAAGTTCACTAACATGTTTTGGATTTACCTGGCATTTGTATTGTGTTAAATGAAAATAGTCTAAGTGACAAAAAGTAAGCTTTGAGAGAATCGCCATTGAAGTTTTAAAATCGTCTTAAAATCAGGAGGTTTTTTTTGTTAAAAATACATCGGAAAATATCGGAATACCATTGATAATATTCGACCTATACATGTATTATAACGTCAGTGGTTGAAATTGCATTTACATGTATATGGTTAAGCCTAAGGGGTTTATCTCCAGGGGTTTGGCCTCACTTCACTTTAATCCTATACATGTATATACACTCATGACATAAGTATAAATATTGCATTAGAGCATCTGATTTTATTAAATTCTCGAGTAATCCCCCAGACCATCACCGGACTCTTCCTGCTCAAATTCCTCAATCCTCCCCTCTGATCTCGTGGCTTTAATTGTTTCCATCCTGAAGCCCATTAAAGTTCACTTATGTTCTTGGGCTATACATATTTACCAAGTCCGTGAACCAAAATAAAGAATGAACTTGAATGGGGAATACTTTTAGAAATTGGAATCAGTGATTTGAAAAACTGACGGCATTGAATCAACAGAAACATGAGATGAAGTAATTAGCACCCCTGTGAGACAAAGTCCCCTCAGACCCAGTCCCAAATTACATATTATAAGGCGCAAAAACCTAGTTATAGTTACATAAATATTATACGTAGCTGTCTGAAATTTTTCGCGCCTACGGTGCTCGATTCCATTATATCATCATCCTTCCACTACAGATCACCACCTCCCCCCACCCAAGCCTTCATGTGGCTTAGTGTTATAGTTACTTCTGTATGGTTGAAAAAAAAATCAATAAAATGACAAGAACTTAATGACAACTTGAATAAAACTGCTTTTCAGCGAGATAACGATCGACGAACAACCATATAGGCAATACGATCTATGCTCTACCGGTGCGCTCAGACATTGTTATAGCCAGTAGTTTGTTGATTCATTGTGGGGTGGGATTGTGGATCTCGACCTAGATTTAGGACCGCCCCGCTGCACTCACAGCTTCTAGATCCGTACTGAACAGAAACGCTTCTGGTCTTCAGAAATATGCCAATATAATATCGTATTAATTCGAAGCTCAGGTGTATAGTTACTTTGTTTTTCATGATAATATTAATATATATTGAAATTGATTACGTCTAGAAAAATGCGAAATTTGATATTCTTATTAATGAAGGTAAACAGATAAGGGAGATATTAAGACAAACTTTATTGTGAATCAATAAACAATTATCGTTAGTAGTTAACATATTGCCTTCTGACAACTCCATATTAATTTGAGGCCACGTCATGTTTTAAAATAAGGGGGTTGGGTGGCCGAATGGTTAGCACGTGCGCGCTGTTTCATAAGGCCTGTCAACTTCGATTCTCGGTTGTACGTGACAAGGAGTAGGGTCGCAGCTGTCAACCTCGTGGGTTTTCTCTCGGTCCTCCTGTTTCCTCTACTGCTAAAGACCCCTACGCGCAAGCGAATTATTGAAATATTGAACTAGTTTGTTCGAGTGGACTCTCTCTCTCTCGTTTTAAAATAAATGGTCGGCCTAAAGATGACCTTATTATAGTTAAAACTGATTGAATTCTATGTTATATAGTTTCAATGTTATAGAAGAATATATTATTAGCGCCTTAAAAGTAAAATCACGATAATCGATCTGTCGTGATTTAACTATATTATGTATCCATCTTGAATTGTATGCAAACTTCCGACACGTGCCAGGTTGATCACCAAGATATATATATATGATTCATTCCGAGTCGTAAACATTATATTCTACTTGTACCACAGGCGCCTGTAACGTGGAAAATATTTCAAAAATAACATTAAGCTATGACTTGTTACGTCCATGTTCGTAAGCGAGATTATCAAATAACTGGTCTGATTACAATTTCTAACGGGGGGGGGGGGGCAAATAGATTCCGTCAAGCAGTAGCAATATACACTAAATTACGCTATAGTCCGGTGGCTGAAGGGGGGAATCGCCACCCGAGCTGTGAATTTATGAGACCAAGTTTTCCTAGACCAGTTTTTTGCGTAGATTCCGAATCTGGGTGGTGATCAGGCTATGAAGGGGGCGTTGTCTACAAATTGGGGGAAAATGTGATTATGTTGACATATGGTGATGATGTTATATATAAATAAAACATAGATTTCTAGGACCGACCATCCCTAAATAAGTGTATATGATGCCCTTGGACAACTGTTTTCATTTGTGGCGAGGTGGGGTGGGTGGTTGCAGGTGTGCTTGTGTGGAAGTGGGGGGGGGGGTAAATTGGCGGGAAATGAGTTCACGTCGATTTAAATGATGATTTTCTTAGAACTTGACAAAATCATTACTTTTTTAAATTGCGCTGCACATCTCTAAGTATGAGTATAAATTCCCATTTAATGGGTGTGGGGTGTGGGCAAAAAGTGATCAAGCGTTTGAGGGGGGCGTTTTCGAGATAAGGGGGTCCAATGTCTACAATTGAGGGGAAATGTCATTATGTTGACATAAATGATGATCATGTTATATATTAATAATACATAAATTTCTAGGACTGTCCACCTCTAAATAAGTGTATATGATGCCCCTTGGACAACTGTTTTGATTTGTCCGTGTGTGGAAGGGTGGGGGGATAAAATTGGCGAGAAATGAGTTCACGTTGATTTAAATGATGATTTTCTTAGAGCTTGATGAAAACTTTACTTTTTAATTTCATTGCACATCTCTAAATATATGTATCAGAGTCCCATTGTATGGCGGGTGGGAGTAAAATGTATTTTTGGGGACAGAAACCACTTATATTAATATATAACATGATCATCATTTATGTGAACATAATCACATTTTCCCCCAATTTTAGACATTGGACCTCATATATCTCGAAAACGCCCCCTCAAACACCTGATCACCACCCAGATTCGGAATCTACGCAAAAAACTGGTCTAGAAAAACTTGGTCTCATAAATTCACAGCTCGGGTGGCGACCCCCCCCCCCCCTTCAGCCACCGGACTACTAGGCAGACAATCGAGTCTACGATGATTTTTTTAAATTATCCACGTGACTCTACTGGCTTTTAGCTGATCATCGTGCAAAAGCCTTGCTTATTAATACTTGTCTACGCATCTGTTTGGTTTCATGTTTCATCAAACTTTCACTAGTTTAGTAGTTATTACTAAATGCTTGGCTACAGTCATTAGTATATTTTTTTGTTTTATTTATTTAAAAAAAACCCCAGTTATTTGGCAGAGTGTGGGTCTAATTACATTGTTAAAGTAACATCACAATTTCAGTTGTGGTGGTTTGACTTTCTGTATTTCGTTTCGTTACATTGGGTGTAACGTGTAAATCTGAAAGAAACCAAGATGTCTGCGCCCATAAAGCTAAAATTTTGTTTTGATTATTAGTTAGTTTGTTCATTTCATGTTCATAGAATTGTGATCATTTTCATTTCAGATCCTCTAATGAATTACATTTAGTAGCAGTAGGAAATAATGGCTTTCGCTGTCGTTGTACCATCAATGTTTGCACAAACCATTAGGTAAACATGACAAAAATCATGGGTAGCAACCCCACATATACTAATACATGGGCACTATGCACTTTCGCACTTCTACCAGTTCCTGTGGTCTTAGAGACTTGAAATTTTTAGGGTTTACGGATGTTAAAGGGGACTAGCCATGACTTCAAACCAAATTTTAGCCAAATCGACGCAGAAATTGGCTCTAATACTTTTAGTAATAGCATAATAAAGTTTGAACTTACTTTAACTTTCGTGAATGTTCACCCTCAAATGACCATTGTTCAAGTTATGAATAGAGACACATCACATGCATTTTCAGCAGATGCTTGTAATTTATTATCACAGTATTTTTTTCTTTCCAAGTTTACTTAAAGATACATTAATCATTATATAAGATTTAGATAAAGAGCTGGCCATTCTTTCTATAATAGCTCAAAAATAGATAATGTAAAATGAAAATATTCAAAATTTCATTCAAATTACTTCATTCTCAGCCAAGTTACCACTGTTTGTAGTTTTGACAAGATGTGTGCAATAATGGTAACCAGGGCACTGGTATATTTGAGACTTAGCCTCGCTTTCCCATTTTTAAATTAAATTCTTAAATGGCGAACCGTTCTAATATAGTTAAAATCCAATCTGATAAAAATACAGATCTATATTTCTATATATGAAGATCTGACAAGTTGTACTGGAAGGTTGCGTCAGAGGTCATATGCACGGCTTTTGACCCTGTGACGTCAGACATAGATTAATCAATCAAGGTTGATGTTTCTAGTGGTTTACCCACAGTTCTGTCCATTGCACACCACAAACTTGCCATAACTTTGGCTAATCTCTCACTTTAACCAAAGCGCCAGTAATAATATAACAACTCTTCCAGATCCTAGTGTAGTAAAGACAAGTAAAACAAAATTTTGAACTATAAAAAACAAAACAAAATAGGATTCGATGCCATCGAGAGTTGATTATGGTCTTGTTTTGTTAATAAGTGTCTAATTAATAGTTTGTATAACATTTCAGGCGTAAAGAAAGACCTGCAATAGGCAGATTTAACTCTTGCATAATGTATGTTTAAAAAATAAAAACAAGTACATGATATTTAATGGCGACAGGTCATTCTATTAGCCACGGCTTTTCCATCCGGCATTTTAATTAAAAAAATGTTCCCATATCCATGATTTGTGGTTTGCTGGAGACGATAATGTTTCATCACCAGAACCTATCTTTCCTCCTTGTCACGTGAACTACAGGAGGACATAACCCTGCATGATAGTTGAATATGGAAAGATAACAGACGGTTAAAAATCTTTTTACCTTGTTTACTGAACTACGGTACGGAATTTAAAGTGGCAATTTTCTGTCCTTCGGTATATCATCGCCACAAAGTCTTACTTTAACCTGTTCATTCAGTAAATGAGGAAATAAAATGGGGTTAACATCCTACTTTTTCTGCCCCAATTGGGCTAGTGAAGGCGGGCATACGCCATACAGTGTGCTATGAGGAAATTTCTGTCTGAACAGCAGCGCTCCAATGCAGCCTACCCTTATTTTGATTTCCAACTGTCTAGGGTTCTTTTACGTGCATGCCATTGAGTTTTTCATACCACTGTTCTTGCCAGGCCCTAACTCCTGAACTTCTGTCAAGGTTAAACCACATCAGAAAATCCTGAGGAACTTTCTCAAATACCTGCTTATAAAATACTTGTTTTATGTTTCCCGAGTTTCCATTGTACAGCAAAAGTAGATCAATTTCTTTATTCTCTCAAATGTGTTTGGGGTGCACCTGTACCTTTTTGTATTTATAAGTTGACTTTTTTTATAAACAGTTATTTTGAAGATTGTGAATGCATTCTACTTTTTTGAACAGGCAGTATCAGGACTGCTGCAATTGTTTTCTATAGTTTTCTTAATGTATACAAAACTTTCATTTGATTGCTTTAAACACATGTTTGCGAAATCAAAATTTATTCAATCTCCAAACTTGCTTTTCATATAACTTCAATATTACTGGTGGGTTTTTTTATTGATGATAGATGGGGGGGGGGGGGGAATAAGGTAAAGCTTCTTATATAAGCTTATATGAATATGGTGGCATAATTATTGATATATTTGGAGATATTTTTTATGGTGTAAGTAAGCAAGGCTAGTGTTTTTCAGTTCAAAACCACACAAAAGTGAAAAATAAGAATTAAACTTACATTATGCAAGAGCTAAATCTGCCAATTGCACATCTTTCTTTAGGCCTGAAATATTATCTAAATTATTAATTATACATTAATTAACTTATCAAGACCATAATCAACTCTTGATGTCATCGCTAGCCTGCAATATCTTCTGGATTGATAATTAAATCAAAAAATGGATAATTGAGACTATGTTTTTTTATCGTACCGATGATCGAGGCTAGACTCAACATTCAATCGCTAAAATTTGACTGAAATTTTCAGCAAATTGCCTTTTCGTTATCTAGTTTTTAACTATTATAGTGAGAACTGCCAGCTCTTTATTTAATCTCCCATAATGTATCTTTAAAGGCAGAGTTTGAATTGAATTTCATCCATATCATACATCAACTATTGAATTGGTTTAATCTGATGTGTTATTTCGATTCAATTAGTGACAAGGCAGGTCCTATGCGATTAACTTTAGTTTTGATATTGATAATCTTAGCATGTCTTACACATAATAGAGTGCATAAATATTGCTTGTGCTCTAAAATTGCAAATCAAACAATTTGTTTTCATCAGAACCAGAAGTTTATTAGAATTCTATCGCACCCAGGAATTGTATCGCACCCAGGAATATGTACGGATACCGATGAAATGTAGTAGTATAATGAAATAACATGCAGGATAGCAAATTATTCTTTTCTCATCTACTACACTTTAACATTTGATTAAGAAAAGCACCAATACTAGATAATCTGCCAGCTTGAATTCCATTGGATTTAAAACAGGCCCATCAATTGGCACTATGGCGGTGAGCTTAGTACATAGCAAGCTGCATAGATCGATGCAATTTCAATGCAACTTATCTTTGTAAATAGTCAAGTCGCTCAGTAATCAGTAGTAATTGTATTCTATGGAATTATGACACAATAAGATATAAACAAAGCTATTTAATATTCCAAACACCTGGTACTACACAATATAAATAATACAATTAACTTACAGTTGTTATATATTTAAGTATAATTATTGACTTCTTTTTCTTCAGAAAAATATTAGAAGACATGAAAGTTTGGGATGAGAGTAGAAAATTGCAAAAGATCGATGGAGGAAAAGTTGCCATTCCTGTTTTATCCAAAGATTTTGATATTGAAAATTTGTCTCCAGTGGTTGAAAAAGCACAGTTGCAAATAGTTGACATGATCTTAGCAAAATCGAAAAAAGCAGCCATAATAACTCCTCAAGATTGTCTGTATAATGCAATAAAAGAACTGCTTGTTGAATCTGACATGTTTTGGACAGAAAAAGTACTGAATGATTTACCAAATTACTGGGAAAAACATGGAGATTTGATTTTACTACCTGCTTCATCGTTTCAACTTTCATTATGGCAGGGATTTGGTGAGTATGTCAAGTGTTGACAAAATTCACTTTCAATGAAGTAGCTGTTATTACCTAGGTTTTAAATGGTTATCTATGCTTAGGTAAATGGAATATGCTTAAGTCTATTGAATTGCACAAATTGTTTATAAAGTTGTCAACTATAACTTTGAGAGAATACTCTTTGAAACATCATATCAGTAAATGTTTGTGTTACATATGTATGTGTTATAGTTTATTACTCGATCCAGTTAATAAATGCCACTTAAAGATTTTTGCCCATGGTTATATCATAGAATTAAAGTGCCGATGATATTATACATTAGAGGTATTGTTACACAATGCACCAACCTTTATGGATTGCTGGGATGTCTTAGCTGTAGTGGTTGTTTGTTTCATTGCCTGGCAATTATTTTATTTTACTTTAATACTGGGTCTCTGTATTTAGGAGAAAAGTTGTGGAAAATAGTTGCTGAAAGTCTTGGATGTAACAGAGTAGCCCAAAAGTCAGTTATCTGTAATAATGGTTTCCGAACACCACAGGTATCACTGCTCTTGGGACAAGATGGATGGGTCAACCAGACAGATAACAAACTAAGGTAAGCTGCGATTACATGTGTATAGTCAAAATTCATTGGTATTGTTGTGGCAGCTGTGCTCTCCAAATTCTTTATGCACTATTCATCCTTGTTTTCTTTATTTCGCTGATAAGATAGAAAAAGCTCTCCTTAATTTGCAATAATGTCAAAAATTGCTCTCCTAAAAAGCTTTCTCAATTTAGACATGGTGAGGGATTTGTTAAATAAGGAGAGTTATATGATAATATGGGAAGTGAATCCTGTCATTCATAAGATTTAAAGTCTATATAAACAGGACTGGATTCTATAAGTAGCTTACATAAATTACACAGTGAATTTTGACCATTTATCAATGATATAAAGTGAAATATGGAAATTGTGGAGAGCGACAAAAATCGCGGTTTCCTCCCACTGCTAAAGACCTCTACGCGCAAGCGAATTATTGAAATAAAATTAAACCATACGTTAATCCCGAAATGACCTAGTTTGTGTCGAGTGGACGTTAAACCCCATTTCTCTCTCTCTCTATTTTTCCAATCATTTTGTGATTGTTAAAATTTAGCTCGAACTTTCATTTCAGGTTTACATATGATGTAACTAAATGTATGTTTAGTATTGGAAATATCAGTGAGAAATTAAGAATTTCTGAATTCGACTGTGTTGGTGAAACAGTTGTGGATTTGTATGCAGGTAAGTGTGGACAGGAGCATTGCATTTGAAATTACTTAAATAAATTTCATATGTAATGTTCTCTCTATACAACTTACAGTGATAATCAAGTGAACAAGAAAACATTTCCACCAGTTACCCATATTCCTGAAGCAATGGCCTGAAAAATCTCTCTCTAGCCATTCTGCAATTGGAACCGATAATTGGGTTTCCACGGAGTGTGTATATTTTTATCACCTAATCAAATCTCTCCTCTCTTCCATTGTTGGTTGTTGGATTCGATTCAGTTTGTTGAAACAAATGATGCATATGTAAAATGGCAGTATGTCTCTTAGATATGTGGTCTTGAAAGACAGTGTAAAATACTGTTCGTCTGCTGCATGGTCCAACAGATAATAAATAGATTCAACTTAAGTTTACGTTTGCAGTCATTTTTATTAGCCTTGTTTGTCACACAATTAGTTTTTCTGCAGTATTCTGTGTTTAATCGCTCATATTGAATATCACGGCTTGTGATGTAATGTAGCCTCGATTGTCATTATACTCTTTTACATTAACATAAAATTATTTAGAATTCTGGTTAATCTCGATTGATCTGTTACACTGTAATGCATTGGTTGTTAATCAGTCTTAATTTGGGACAGGAGTCATCACTCGGTGGAAGCGGACGTAAAATACAACTAACTAACAACAATCATTCAGTCCAGCAGTGTTCAGTCACTAAAATGGGATTAGATCTAATCAAACGAAACACTGTGAGGTGTATGCCAGTCATCACAGCTGAAACCTATGTTTGACTATGTCACAGTTCTAACAACACCTAATAGAGTGTGACAGAGCTGCATTCCATGTCAATCCATGGCATTTCTGTCAATTTATTTTTTGTATTGTTCTGGATACACAATCAGGTAGCTGTCTAGTTCAGGCTATTCAATTTGTTTTACTGCATTTGAAATTAGTGTCTACCAAGTGAAATTTAAAACGGCCTTTCAAAATAACCATACAAGGTTATTTTCGAATTGACTAGTCTTTGTTATTTCATGTAAGCAAGAAAAATTTTCATATAATATAGCCAATTTTACTATAAGACACAGTTTTTCTAATTCAGTGTAATAGTAGGTGCAGAAGGGGTAAACACAAACATGCGGACAAGACAAACTACACAGAAATTGTAAGAAATAAACAACAACAACAAAAAACCCCAAAAAACATTGTCTTCTACATGTAGTAGTTATTTTTCAGTTTATCTGCACTGATATGTAATAAAAAATTCATTTTTTGTGCTTATTTTAGGAATTGGTTATTTTACTATACCATATTTAGTACATGCTAAAGCTGAACATGTTCACGCTTGTGAATGGAATCCTGATGCTGTAGAAGCTCTGAAAAAGAACTTGGTATTAAATAATGTACAAGATAAATGTACAATTTATTATGGCGACAATAGAAAGGTATGTATAAGGATTCAAGATTTTGAAATAAAATAAAAGAGACCCAGGAAAGTAGACATACCCATTATTGGCTGGTGGGGCACAAGCTATTTTAGACATTTTGAAATGAAATGGGGTTTAATGTCCTATTTTTCAGCACCAACTGGGATAATGAAGATGAGCTTATGCCATAGGCATACCGTGTACTATGGGGGGGAATTGTGCCTTTTCAACTGTCAAGGGTTCTTTTAAGTGCATGCCAATGTGTACACAGGACCTCGATTTTCCGTCCCATCAGAACAACTGGACATTGTCCTTGCCAGGCCTTCGTTACGCACCACTGACAAGGGGAAACCATGCTGGAAAATCCTGAGACACTTTCTCGGCCAATATTAGGAGCAAACACAAGACTACCTGGGCGAGAGAAATCTTCAGGATTTACCCCATGTCATTGGTCCTGTGTGCTTGTTGAGATGCACTTTAAATGAGCCTTTAACTGTTGGAATTTGATGAAACCTAGACAGAAATGTTGCTGTCCAGGCAAAATTTGCTTTATAGCACACTATGTGGCATATATGACTATCTTCATTGGTGAAGAAAAGTAGGATGTTAAACCCAATTTAATTTAAAGAGGCATTATCAGTTATCACTCTACCAAGAATATGAACTGTTATGTATTTTGAGTAACAGGCACTATCTACTCAAAGAGTAAGGCATTTTTCAAGAGTGTTTGAATTTAGACATGTTGTTTATATACTGGAAGCATAGAAGTCTCTTGGTTCACTAGAATTTATATATGGTGTTTATGTACTAATGCTGTTTTCAATGTTCAGAGGGGGGTTGGATGGCTGAATGGTTAGCGTGTGCACGCTGTATCATAAAGTCTGTCATTGAGTCAACTGGCGTGGTTTCGAATCCCCTGTTGTACGTGACAAGGAGTGGGGTCGCCTGTCCAACCTCGTGGGTTTTCTCCAGCTCTTCCGGTTACCTCCCACTGCTAAAGACCGCTACGCGCAAGCGAATTATTGAAATATAATTAAACCATATGTTAGTCTCGAAATGACCTAGTTTGTGTCGAGTGGACGTTAAACTCCATTTCTCTCTCTCTCTTTCAATGTTCAGAATTATGTTGATCACTAGAATTTATACATAGTGTTTATCTATTTAAAATGAAAAAGTCGATTTGTTTTAAACCATTTACAATAATTATATTCAGGGTTATTGCACCGTTTGGCCTGTAATCACTTAGAAAAATCTTTTTGTTGCTGTTTAGTCTAAAGCTATTAGCTGACTGACTTGAATAATGTTTGAGGGGTTGGATGGCCGAATGGTTAGCACGCGCGCGCTGTATCATACGATCTGTCATTGAGTCAATTGGCCGGGTTTTGATTCCCGGGTTGTACGTGACAAGGAGTAGGGTCGCCTGTCCAACCCCCGTGGGTTTTCTCCGGGTCCTCAGGTTTCCTCCCACTGCTAAAGACCCCTATGAGCAAGCGAATTATTGAAATAAAAATTAAACCATATGTTAGTCCCGAAATGACCTAGTTTGTGTCGAGTGGACTTAAACCCCATTTCTCTCTCTCTCTTGAATAATGTTTATTTTCATTAGACAAAGAAGAAACCTATTTTCACAATTTTCAAACAGATTTTGTTTAATGAAATGATAGGAAAGGCCCATCAAATTTTAATTATTTCTCATATTTAGATCAGGGGTTGTTGCCCTTGATAAGTTTTGTTTTGTAAATGCTCCACTTACCATACATGTATCTACAAAAGAATAAAAATGTGACATAACCTTTGTAGACTGCTGCATGGGGGCGTATGTTTTGTGGACGTGCAGTTGCAACCAATCTTTAAAAAAAACAAATGTATATTTTGTTTGATTATCACTTTATTTTAATAGGTTGACTTAGTGGATATTGCAGATAGAGTTAACCTTGGATTAATACCAAGTTCTGAACATGGGTGGCTAGTGGCTTGTGTTGCTCTTAAACAGAAAACTGGTGGAATTTTACATATTCATAGTAATGTTACTTCTAACAAATCTGAGAGGAATAAAATGAATGGATCTAAAAACTCAAGTGATGAAATCAGTAAAGAAAAATGTGATAAAGATACTGCTACTGAGGTGCCTCATAAATCCTGTTCATATTCTAATTCACAGACTAGAATAAACAGCTGTGATGTGTCAGTTAACTATGGAACTAATTCTTGTAATGAAACTAATCAGATGACAAAAACTATCAATTATTGTAGCTGGAGTGAATGGGCAGAGTGTGTTTCTATCAAGATAAGACAACTCCTCATTAACTATCATCAATGTGACTGGACTTGTAGTATTAAACATATTGAAAACGTTAAATCATATGCACCACATGTGAATCATCTAGTATTAGATTTAGAATGTCGCCCTGATACACAGATATAAATATTTTTATCATAATCTTTGCAGTTGTATTTAAAGGTATGACATGCACTTCAAATTTGACTATGTCGAAGAAAGCAGGGGACTATTAGAATGGATTCGTCTGTCGATCCGTCACACATTTTAGGACACAATAACTTTGCTTCTAATTGAGCTAGAATGTTCAAACTTGGTGTAGTTATTCATCCAATGGATGTCTTAACTGCATCTAATGATAAGCATTTTCTGCTTAGGATATGCTGAGATAAACAATTTGATTGGCCTAACTCTGCTTCTAATTGATGAGGCGTGATAAAACTTGGTGTATAGTTTCACTGATTACATCAATACTTCGACAAATAGAAGTTCAATAATGAGTATTTTCTGCTTAGGTTATGCAATGGGATAAACAATTTGATTACTAGATGCTTTATAAGCAGGGGGATTGGATGGCTGAATGGTTAGCATGTGCGCACTGTATCATAAGGTCTGTCATTGAATCAACTGGCTTGATTTTGGTTCCACGATTGTACGCTACGAGGAGTAGGGATGTCTGTCCAACCCCGTAGGTTTTCTCTGGGTGCTTCGGTGTCCTCCCACTGCTAAAGACCGCTACCCGCAAGCGAATTATTAAAATAAAATTGAAACATGTGTTAGTTCCAAAATGACCTAGTTTGTTTCAAGTGGCCGTTAAACCCCATTTCTCTCTCTCTCTCTCGCTTTATAAGCAAGTTATTAAAGAGCATCACTGGATTTTCTTTATAATACACTCTTCAAAAAAAGTAGGGGATATTCAAATGAAAATACCTATGCAGGTTGTGATATGATAATAGTCATGGACACTTGACATGCTTTGAGAGTATGTTCACAGATGAAAAACTTATCGCCCCAACAGAACCACTGAGCTCGACATGCAATAGCGCCATACACGTGGGAGGGGTTCATTGTCAAATTTGACACTTCAAGAAGGGTTGATGAAAACTGCTGCATGCTGGTTTATCTATCCATGTTAGCCTTCCTATCGGTTCTTGCATAAGATTTACTGTTTAGCGTATCTTTGGTTTACGTTTAATTTGATCGGGTGACGTGTTCGTCAACATCAATGTCAACCGACAACACTGCAAGAATTGGCCGTGCCACTGTAAGAGGAGTGGGTCAGATTGCCCCAAATCATGATTGCACGGTTGATTAGGAGCATGCCACGACAAATTGCTGAATGTCTGAGGATTGGCGGAGCAATTACTCATTATTAAGACAAAATCAAAAACGTCCATTTTCACTTTTGACAGTGTAGCTCTTTGCAAGTGAAATGGGGCCGTCAGATAAGCCGCCCATATGAACTGTTTATGTTCATGTGTAGGCAATTGGTCTGTTATTAACATACACTGGTTACCTCTACAAAAAACAGAAGTGCATTTCCGCAGTTTTGTATTGTTTCTGAATATCCCCTACTTTTTCTGAAGAGTATATTAATAGACAATACTTTGGTCTCAAAGTAAGTGCAGTTCGTCTCAAATTTCTGCATTGGCGACTAAATGAATTAATGAGATAAACAAACAATGCCAAAATAGATGGGGAAAATCCCAAATACATAATATATATATGAATATATCCCTGTACATGTATGCGTTTTATTGCTTTGATTGGATATCACAATAAGCACCAGTTTTTCAAAGCTTGAATTAGTCAAAACTTTTACGCATTCAGTAATGAAACTGGAACTCCTCAATGAACTATTGACTCTGCTGTGTGAGCTTGACCAGACGGGCACAATCAATCTTGACAAAATCACCGATTGGTGGTTAAACTGTAACAGATTCACAGTACTTTATACGTTCCTGCAAAATTCTTAATAAATAACATGAATTCCCATGTGTAGTACTCAATTTTTCTCATATATGTGTTTTCTGACCATCAGAATTCTGCAAAATCCAGGATATGGCATTTCAGTGACTCTCGATTCAATAATTTCTCCGAAGGAGTATGTCCCCCAACATCCCTAGAAAGCTTGCACCTGTGGCGCTTGGTTCGTAGCTATGTCACTTTTGTTAGGGGCCTTTGCATCAGTTAGTCTCAGTTTTGCTACCTTCCCTACCCCTCCACAAAACTGTGGGATACGCAGTACTTGTTAAGTGAGTAAGATGTTGGCTCGCTAACCTGGAGGTCCTGTGGTTCGATCCCACCGGTATTGGCTGAGAAAGTTCATTGGGATTTTCCTGTGTGGTTTCCCCTTGTCTCAGTGCTGCGGGAAAAGTATACATGTAGTCGTTTGGAAGGTAAAAAAACAAGGTCCTGTGTACACATTGCCGTGCACATAAAAGATCCCTTGGCAGTTGGAATTTGATATAAGAGTAGGCCATAGTGCTGCTCCCCAGGCAAAATCTCCCTTATAGCACACTCTATAGTGTATGCCCGTCCTGTCTTCATTAGCTCAGTCAGAGCAGAACAGTAGGATGTTAAACTCTATTTCATTTCATTCATTTCTTTACAGTGTGCCGACTCATGGTCTACATTAACTCTTTAGCTAGAACATGCCAGTGACACCAGCTTCTATTTTTTTATTTTTCAGCTGGCAAGTTGGTACTATCAAAAATTGACGTGATTACATATCATAAAACTCCGAATTTTGAAATTTAAATAAACTTTGTTAGGATTTTGCCAACAGTAATACCTTTAGGCATCTAATATCAATATTTTATGGTTAATAGCTACTTTCCTGAAGAATGATTAACCAAATTTTCCAAGACAATATTCTATCCAGATGAGTAAAATTAGTGTAAATGTGCTGTTCGATGAAAAAAACTAGCAATTTAATCCATATCAGTTGAAGTTAATCCTTCATGAAATCACATAACCCATGAATGATTTATAATACATAACTTTTGTACAGGAAATATACATAGCGTCTGCTGAATAACCAAATCACATTTCATCTGTACTCCAACTAAACTAATGGCATTTTATTGTTTTTCCTTAGATTTCATTGTTTGTATTTGTTGTAATAAGTCTTGCATCCTATATTTCATAATAGGTTGTCCTTTACTTGTTTTTAATTTAAACTTATTGTGTTTTTCATTCTTTCTTTCATGATATTTTCTTAGTGCTTCTTCTCTGGCTTCTTTCTCTTTTAAGGCTGCCTGTAAAATAAAATGATAGATGCACATGTAAATCAAACTCTTTAAGCTTTTAGACATTGATATAATCATGATAAACAGCTAGATAAGATCCAAATCTGGGAGATTCAGCTGATGCCAAAACACATTCAATATTATTTCTCAGTTAAAGAATTATGAATGCAAGTTGAGTCTAGTTTAAAGTTATATTCAATTAAACCTCTAAGGGGCATTATATATTAAAGATACATTATGGGAGATTAGATAACAAGTTGGCAGTTTTCGCTATAATAGTTAAAAACTAGATAATGTAAAGACAATTTGCTGAAAATTTCATTCAAATTGATCCACTATGAACCAAGAACGAAGCGGTTGAAACTTCCGTCTAGCCTCGATCATCATTACTAAAGTCAGTACGATAAACAGCATAGTCTCTATTATCCATTTAATCGTTAAATCGTGAAGGAAAGTTATGCAGTAAATTGGCTCATAATCCACTAAAGATCGCAGCCTAGCATAACCATCTAGGGTTGATTATGGTCTGGATAGGTTAATAAATGTCTAATAATTTAGATAACATTTCAGGCCTAAAGAAAGACCTGCAATAGACAGATTTAGCTCTTGCATAATGTATGTTTAATATAGCTGGTTGATCATCCATCCAAGCACAGACTGACTTATTTGTTTTCGGATGATGCGCAGTCAAATATTATTGTACAATTTTATTTCACCAACTGTTCGATAATTCAGCAGTAAAATGGACAAAATCCATTAAAAATTATTTGGAAAAAATACAACATTTTTCGCTCTTTACCTTAGATTTACACAAAACTGCTAGGGAACATGCAAATAGGAGCCTTTCAATGCATATTTTGGTCAATAAAAAATGACATCACAACCAACTAATTCAAAGAATGATATTTTCTCAGAAAAGTAGTATGTGAATATAGTATTGGATTTACTCTATACCTCTTTCTTCCTGATTTCTTCTTCTTTATTCTTTTGAAATTCTTCTTTAGCTTTGGAAAATCGGTTCAACTTGTCTCTTAAAAAGAAATTAATAAATGAAAATATTATGACAACAGTACTACAATGATTTCTAATCATAAACTGTAATCTTAAAAAAAAAATAAAAATCATTATTTTATCCTTGACCAAATCAAATTCTTCTTCTATTAGTGCTAAACGTCCGCTTCCACTGATAGTGATATCGCAGACAAGTTGTCTTTTTTATTATGCTTAGCGCACATGCAGGGGTCTTTCCTGTGGGAGAAAACCGGAGTACCCAGAGTAAACACACGAGGTTGCGAAGGCGCCCCCATCTCCAAGCCACATACACACACACCAGATATCAAAACCACAACCACAAGCCAGAGTTGACCGGCCAACTAGAGCACTCTAGACCACTAGGCAATTCCAACCTCTAACCAAATCAACAACTGAAGAATCTTTATATGCACACCCATTGAAATGGGGTCCTACATGTACATTGTCATAACCCCTATCCGTATGTCTGTCATTTACAATTTCTAGTGGATGTTCTGTAGAGGCTAAAGTTTATATAATGTTATTACATTCATAAGACGATTTCTTATAATTACTTTTATAGTCATGCCCCTAGATCACTTACCGGTACTTCAAATTTATACACACTGTCTACATTCATGAGACAAAGAAGTCTATTTATTTTCAACATTTTCTGATGATTAATTTCAGAGATACATGTATGACCTTTGGTCACTTTCAAAAATCTTGCAGATTATCTGGGGGTTACAGTTATCATACTCTTGACTTTAAAATTTATGCAAGGCATCTATGTTCAAGGTACAAAGATGGGAAGCGTACTGATTTTCAACAATTTTTGATAATACAAACAGCTAAAGTTATCATCTGATTACAGTAGAGGTGGGAACAAGTCACGGGATCCTGAGTCTGAGTCGAGTCCCTGACTTTAGTACCAAGTCGAGACCTAAGTCACTGACTTTAATACCGAGTCATGCCCTAAGTCTTCACAAATCCAAAGTCCTGTTCATGTCACCAGTTCATCAAACGAGTCCGCAATACATGTCTCCTCACCATGACGAATCTTTATCTCTTTCAAGTCGCATGTTGTCACAACTACCAAGTCAAGCCTCGATATATATTTCAATTCGAGTCTTTGATGTAGACTCAAGTTCCCACCTCTGGATTACAGTTACATGTTTTATTTATGTTAGCACTATGGGAAGAAGCCTATCAAAAGAATAAAACTACATTCATAGACTAGGCCTACTAAGATGAATTCCCCCCTGGGGCATATGTTTCCATGCCTGGCAAACTTTCTTATACATAAACCTGTCCAGTATATTTCAGAGATTCTTTAAGTTTAACTTTGTCTTTTGAACAATGGTTTATTGCTTAAAGCAATTTGATTTACGCACAATTCAAAGTGATGTTCTCACACAATGTATGTAATTATTTATTGAGCTTACATTTTGTCACGCTTTAACTTGACCTGTTTGTCAGAAAAAGTTTCTTCATCAGATGTGATATCTTTACTTCCTTGTGGTGTTTCTTCGCTTTGTTTTTTTTTATCCTGTTTTTTCATAAGTTTAAAATATCCTCTCTTGATTTTCTGTTTTCTAAGGTCAGCAAAACCTTGTCCTGTAAGTAATAAATATACCTTTGTTGCTTCTTGTTCTTTAGGCTACAATTTACACTTATTTTTTCATCTTATATACTCTTCAAAAAAAGTAGGGGATATTCAGAACCAATACAAAACTGCGGAAATGCAGTGCTGTTTTTATTAGAGGTAACCAGTGTATGTTAATAACAGGCCAGTTGCCTACACATGAACATAAATAGTTCATATGGGCGGCTTATCTGACGGCCCCATTTCACTCGCAAAGAGATACACTGTCAAAAGTGAAAATGGACGTTTTTGATTTTTGTCTTAATAATGAGTAATTGCTCCACCAATCCTCAGACATTCAGCAATTCGTCATGGCATGCTCCTAATCAACCCTCCAATCACGATTTCGGGCAATCTGACCCACTCCTCTTGCAGTGCCACGGACAATTCTTGCAATGTTGTCGGTTGACGTTGACTTCGACGAACACGTCTCTCGATCAAATTAAACGTAACACACTAAAGCAAAGATATGCTAAACAGTAAATCTTATGCAAGAATCGATAGAAAAGCAAACATGGATAGGATAAACCTGTAAACGGCAGTTTTCATCAACCCTTCCTTGAAGTGTAAAATTTGAAAATTAACCCCTTCCACGTGTATGGCGCTATTGTGTGTCGCACATGCAGCTCAGTGGTTAAGTTGGGGCGATAAGTTCTTCATCTGTGAACATACTCTCAAAGCATGTCAAGTGTCCATGACTATTTATCATATCGCAACCTGCATAGGTACTTGCATTTCAATATCCCCTACTTTTATTAAAGAGTAGGCCTATATATAGGCCATGGACCTTATAATAAGGTCCATTGTTTAATAGAAGTACTTAATTATTAATAGTAAGTGCTGAAGGATCGCACTACACGCAAAACAAAGAACTACACAGTAAATGCTAAATTATTTTGGATAAAATATAAATGAAATGAAATGAAATGAAATGAAATGAAATGGAGTTTAACGTCCTACTATTCTGCTCCTAACCTGGGCTAATGAAGACGGGCATACGCCATACAGTGTGCTATGAGGGAAATTTTGCCCGGACAGCGGCACTGCGGCCTACTCTTATATCGAATTCCAACTGCCAAGGGATCTTTTACGTGCATTCCAATGTACACACGGGACCTCGGTTTTTCGTCTCATCCGAAGGACTAGACAGCTATCCTTGTCAGGCCCTCCGTCCTGCATCACTGACAAGGGGGAACCACGCCGGAAAATCTGGATGAACTTTCTCGGCCAATGCAGGGATCGAACACCCGACCTCCAGGCTAGCGAGCTAGCGTCTTACCCACTTAGCCACGTGATCCCCAAAAAAAAATATAAATGAATTCTCCAGGCTTGTTTTTGATTGAATGCATTGAGAAATGTTTTTAATAATAATAAATAGTGAATATTATCTTTTATTATAACACCACTAACCCTCAGATTTGTTGCCGATGTGTTTCTTGTAAAGACGTGATTTATCATACGGTTTGGCCCTATTCGCACCATATTTCTGTATTTTTTCGGACATAATATTTTTTTTTTTTTTGGATAGTAATAATAATTTAAAAATTATAATGAAATTGCTCCTCAAATAATTGCAAACATCATGCCGAAAGTTAAATTTCAGTTCGAGATGGTAACAGTAACACAATTGAGCTGAAGTCAGCGGACGTTACGTTCAACGGACGTTTTATGACCTTGACCCTCATCGTCGAAAGTGCGGTTAACACATAGAGTTACATATAACTCTATGGGTTAACAATAACACAATGTTTAGCAGTTGAAGTGAGCGGACGGAATGAATAACAAACGTCAACCTGACGACACACAATAATTGGCACGAAATGAAACAGTCTTTATCATCCATTTCTGTAGCGCCATAGATAATTTTCTGAAAATCAGTGGAATATACCGCATATCAGGTTGAATTATTACCGGTATATACTGATCTCCCTTTTCTAACGATTTTCATTTACTAAACATAAATGTTTTATCTGAACCAACCAATACATTACATGGCACCATAGAATATTCCTGAAAGTCCTCGAAATAGTCTGAAATCCGTCCCGATAAAGCACTTCCACCCCATCCCCCGCCCCCTTTTGTCAATTGTGATTTACCAAACGCCCTCTACTATTTCCTTGAGCCACCTAATAATTGGCATGGAATGAACGAGTGTTTATCCCTCTTTCAGGTGACACCTTAGATTATTCCTTATAGACCTCGACTTAGTCTGAAATCGGTCCCCGAAAAGCACTACTCGAACCGCGTCTTTATTTTTTCAATTCTGTTTTACCAAACGTCCGCTGCTATTTTATTTCCTTGAACCACCCAATACATGGCATGGAATGAAAGCGTGTTTATCCCTCTTTCATGTGGCACCATAGATTATTTCTGAAAGCCCTCGACTTAGTCTCAAATCCGTCCCCGAAAAGCAATACCCCCACCCCGTTTCTTTTTTTCAAATCTATCCCAGGAAAACTGCACCCCTTTCTTTTATGTCAATAACCATACCAAACGTCCGCTGTTTCATATTCTTGAGCTACTCAATACTTGGCATGGAATGGAAGATTGTTTATCCTTCTTTCATGTTGGAACATAGTTTATTCTTTAACATCCTCGATATAGATTGAAATACGTCCGAAAAGCTCCCACCCACCCCCTACCTACACTATTTCATTTTCTTGAGCCACTCAATACTTGGCATAGAATGAAAGAGTGGTTATCTCTCTACAATGTGGCACCATAGATTGTTCTTGAAAGTCCTCATCATAATCTGAAATCCGCCCCAGGAATAAGTACTCTTTCAATCCATGTCATGTATTGGTGGCTCAACGAAATAAAATAGCAGCGGACGTTTGGTAAAACGGAATTGAAAAAATAAAGACGGGGTGGGGTAGTGCTTTTCGGGGACCGATTTCAGACTAAGTCGAGGTCTTTAAGGAATAATCTAGGGTGCCACCTGAAAGAGGGATAAACACTCGTTCATTCCATGCCATGTATTGGGTGGCTCAAGGAAATAAAATAGCAGCGGACGTTTGGTAAATCACAATTGCCAAAAAAGCGTGATGGGGGGGGGGGGGAGGAGGAATAGTGCTTTTTCGGGACGTATTTCATACTATTTCAAGGACTTTCAGAAATATTCTATGGTGCCATGTAATGCATTGCTTGGCTGAGGAAAAAAAAGAAACATTTATGTTTGGTAAATGAAAATCGATAGAAAAAGGAGATCAGTATATTCCGTTGTTTTGCGGTTTATACCGGTAATTAATTCAACCTGTTTTGTGGTATATTCAAGTGACTTTCAGAAATTATTTATGGTGCTACAGAAGTGGGGGATAAAGACTGTTTTATTTCATGCCAATTATTGTGTATCTTCAATGGTTTAAATAGTAGTGCGGGCGTTTGTTAACGTCTAAACATTGTGTTTTGTTAACCGCAGCTTTCGACGATGAGGGTCAAGGTCATAAAACGTCCGTTGAACGTAGTGTCCGCTGACTTCAGCTCAATAGTAACACGTGCATTTATTTGTTTACAACGCAAGGGGCTATTCTATTGGTCTCTCCAAATTCTGGAATTTATACCGTAAGGGGAAGACTGAAATCGTCCATTTAGATCGGCGGGTTTCTAGATACAACGCGAGAGCCGCCGTTAAGCCAGAGCGACGAAAAAGTCGCCGATTTTTTCGGCGACTTTTTCGTCGCGTGGCTTAACGGCGACTCTCGTGTTGTGAAAGTCGCGGGTCGCCGTTAAGCTAGTACGACGAAAAAGTCGCCGATCGGCACCTTTTCGTCGCGCTGGCTTAACGGCGACTCTCGCGTTGTATCTAGAAACCCGCCGATCTAAATGGACGATTTCAGCCACCACAGATATCCAATATTTAAGACAAAATAAACATTTTACCATTGGTGCACGAATCGTGTACCATAATGCGTTCCGGTGCTATTTGATTTGCAACATATTCTTATCTGGAGGAGAGCATGCGCAATAAATATTATCGGCGTAGACAGGAATAACCAGATTCTAGGTCATTTCGGGTTAACATAAGGGACTTTAGCAGTGTGGGGGGGGGGGGGCGAGGGGGGGGGGAGAGGAAAAGTTTACGAAGCTTCAAGGAGTCCCAAGTTATTAAACAAATCTGTAGTACAGTTGCATTCTATAGGTATGATACACGATATTTCAGGAGTCATTGAAAAAACTGGCATAGGATTTTATCAAAAATAAATGAAGAGTTGGTTTTTAGCTACCGATAGGCCAGGCCTATACCGAACTAAAAGCACGGACCTACCCGAGAGAGGCCACATGTATAAACGTTGATTTTATTAAATATATATATATATATATATATATATATATATATATATATATATATATATATATATATATATAATGTTTTTTTTTTATGTTATTAATGGAATATTTTGAGGCTGAACTTGTGATATTGGCGTATTATGATATTTCCATATGAACATTATAAAAATTTGAAGGAGGGAATACGACTTTAACGTACCTGTAATAATTTATGAAAAAAGCGGAAAGTTCGGGATCGGGTTAGAATGCGACTTGTTGGAATTTTGAAGATTATCACGCCCTTTTGGGCGCCTAACCAATCTCACTCGGCATTATGGGTGCCCCGCCCCATTGGTCAAGTCGCGGGCGCCCAACCAATCTTAGAAGGCATTATGCATTACGTGCGGCCCCACAATTATATATTGTCATTATGTCATGTCACCAATCATGTCATTATGGGTGCCCCTCGGGATAAGGCACCCCACAGATCAAACCGTTTTGGGCGCCCCATCAATCAAGTTGTGGTGTTAATCGTGTGAGTCATTATATTAGTTGCCTCACCATTTAAGGGGCGCCTCATATATAACATGATTGGCGAGGCGCCCATAAAACCAAGTGAGATTGGTTGGGCGCCCCGCCAATCTGGTCGTGGGTGCCCAACCAATGCCACTCGCTTTTATGTGGCGCCCATACTGAGATGGGCACGTTGGTCGCCGGCTTCGTGGGCCTGCTATGGAATATTAAATAGGCCTATACTTTGCTGTGTTTCTTTTATTAAATATAATTTACAGTACAGTAGGGCTAGTATAACAATTACAGATAACTGCACTTTAATGCAACGCCATAAGGTCCATGTATTATAAGGTTCATGGTAGACCTACTAAACGTGTGAAGAACCAGCTTCGTTCGACTGTCGGACAAGAGAAGTTATGTGACTTATCGCTATTGACAATTGAGTCAGACTTGACCAGAGGCATAGACTTAGAAGGCATCATTGCTAAATTCGCAAATTTCAAATCTAGTAAAAAAGCTATGTTAATGTAGCCCTTATACCTAGCTACAATATTGTGGCGCTAAACTGTGGCTGGAGTAAGACGGAAGACATTGGGACAGTAGTGGAACCATTTCTACCCTAATTCTGTCACCTACATGTATCTAATGTAAACTAATGCAATACATGCAATGTATAATGAGCATAATGACTGTTATTCTTTTTGATAATTTGTATTTGATGGATGGATGCCTTGGTATAGGCACCATAAAATATTTTCGCGTAGGCCCTATCTACGGAATATACCTACCTACTCTTGTCGGCTGAAATATACATGTCTGTACATATGGATTCATTGTTGGAGACTACCCAAAAAATAGCTTTAAATAGAAGAATGAATAAGAAGAGTAGGCCCTACATATGTCAAAATATCGCTCGAAAAATGTAATGGGTTGGCAAAATATAGGCCTACCTTTTGCCAACCACATGTAAAAACTGATCGGCTATACTGTTCTGTAAAGCTATATGCAATAAAAATTATAATCCAAAATTATACTGATTTTAAATATACATTATGCAGGAGCTAAATCTGCCTATTGCAAGTCTTTATTTAGGCTACAGGTGTTATAGAAATTATTAATTAAACCTTTATTTACATGACAAGCTCAAAATCAATTCTGTAGGCCAGCGGATGGCTTGGGTACAGCTTGGATTTAAACAGTCGTCCATTTAGAATTAAATCAAGAATTGGCCGACCAAGCTAACGTTTACCATTAGTCACTGCCGGAAACTGATGATGAAAGGCCTACCAAGCGAGGGTATCATAGCCATTGACAATGTTACTTGATAAGCGAGAATATCGTCTGTCAATTAAACGATTGGCAATTCTCGTAGACGGCGCGGACACAGTTGATGCCTATTTCTAGCCCAAACTTCCAACAGTGACAACTCTGTTCAGAATAAAGTAATTTGACTGAAATGTTTAATATTTTCTTTTTTATCGTCTATTTTTGAATTATTATAGCAAGAATGACCACCTCTTTATTAAACTCTTAACTAATGTATCTTTAAACATTTTAAATTATGGTATTGTTAATCTCTTGCAAACAATAAGCTTATCAAATTGAATCTCTAAAAGGGTTATCAGTCAAAAAACGCTTTCAGTATTTACAAATATAATATGATGAATTGGAAATTTCTCAATATTCGGCATCCACTGCAGACGATAAAGGATATAGTTACCGTAAGTCAGTGTCACCTATTAATTACACTGAAATTTGTTCATGGGCTTCTTTATAATCCGACTGGAAATCTACGTGGACATTTCTAATAGCTCCAAGACTGATTACCTATCATTGTCTGATGGAGATTGGGGAGCATGCATTGCTTAAAAGAAATGTTCCATAGAGTGGCCGTGACGTCACCACTAGTTTCTAGATTATCCGGTCTTATAGACAAAGTCTAAGGGAGGTAACTAGTCCTAAAACAAGATGTTGACACCCATTTCAAAAATCCATTTGATTGCATTGCCAGTTCAATATCCAACACTCTTTATTTTATTATTTTTTTTGTAAAATATATATATTTTTAAAAAATTAATCCTAATTCGTTGTCACGATTGAAGACTAGGGGGTTCTGGACCGAGACATCATAAAAACTTATAATTAAATAATATACTATCCGAAAGGCTTAAATGAATGTGTACTTCAAACTAAAACTATTTGGTGACAATGGTGAACAGATTATCAACCTTTGTCTAATTTGAAAAATAAAAACAACGAATATATTTAAATTTCCATTTTAGTCAAACAAACTTTTCGGGTTATTTAAACGATCTTAATTTTGCAAAATTAGGGTCTGGATATTCGTGAAAAAAGCACTTGCTGGTGACGTATACTGATCTATAAATAAACCACTAGTGACGTAGTACTTGGGGCATTGTCTGGAAAGGTAAATTTAGAAGAGAGCTATTCTTTTTAATTTGATATATCATTGTTGTCGGATATTGGGAAGAAAAGTTTGATAGGAGGTTGTTCACTAGTGTCTAGAGATTGGTTTAACATATTTTGACGCTTTCAAACGTCCAATATAGCCCCTTTATTGGTCATGTTTTCTGGTAAAATTTGTCAACACAAAAATGTCGGATTTGCAAGTAGTACCATGGCTTCCGTTATTTTGACCTACTTTTATAACCGAATAACTGCGTATTATTCAATCACGTCGCGTTTCCATCTTTATGGCGTAACTTGAGGTTTACTTAAAGATACATTATGGGAGATTAGATAAAGAGCTGGCAGTTCTCACTATAATAATTAAAAACTAGATAGATCTAATGACAATGTAATTATTGTAAAGGGAATTTGCTGAAAATTTCAGTAAAATTAATCCACTCTGATCCGAGATTTTAGCGATTGAATTTTTGGCCTAGCCGCGATCATCATTACTAAAGTCTGTATGATAAAAAAAACATTGTCTCGATTATCCATTTCAAGATTAAATTAAGAATGGCAGTCGAACAGCAAATCGGAACCTAATCCAATAAACATTGCAGGCTAGCGATGACATCGAGAGTTGATTATGGTCTGGATAAGTTTATTGATGTCTAATTAATAATTATTGTAAAGGGAATTTGCTGAAAATTTCAGTAAAATTAATCCACTCTGATCCGAGATTTTAGCGATTGAATTTTTGGCCTAGCCGCGATTATCATTACTAAAGTCTGTATGATAAAAAAACATTGTCTTGATTATCCATTTCAAGATTAAATTAAGAATGGCAGTCGAACAGCAAATCGGAACCTAATCCAATAAACATTGCAGGCTAGCGATGACATCGAGAGTTGATTATGGTCTGGATAAGTTTATTGATGTCTAATTAATAATTTAGATATCATTTCAGGCCAAAAGAAGATCTGCAATAGGCAGATATAGCTCTTGCATAATCTATGTTTAATGATTAGACATGATATCAGAAAATGGTCTGGAAGAAACCATAATTGTATTGTTAGCACTAGATCTACTACATGTAGTACTAGATGTTAGAAAAACTACTAGCCTACTAGGCCTACTAATATTACAGACTGTACTACTACTACTATTTTCATAATTATAAATTATGACTAAAAGGAACCAGAACTGTTGACACATTTCAATGTAAAACTACAGTGATCTTAGACTCAGTATGAGAATTAAATTCAGTGCTTGTGTCTGAGCTCACGCCTTTTCATATGTTGCAAATTTGCATTATAAAATTTAGTTGTGGGTATTTATTCTGCCCCGTGAGTCAATAACTATAACTGGAAATTTTGAAATGAAGTACCAGACCGAATATATCATGTTTTCCTGAAAAAGTTAAAAAAAAAAAAAAGACTGCTGGTATGTTCGTTTGGTTCGTGTGTCCTAACTATTGGTTATCGCTATTGGTCTGTGTGCATTTTGATTTATTTTTCTAAATTTATCACCATTAATAGAAATGGATATGAAATTGGTCACACTATTTAAATTTTTTTGAATTTTGTGCCATTACTCTGAAAGTTAATTTTGCAATTGCAAAGGAAATGGCTTAATTCACTAACAATACTTTTTTCAATATGTTCATTAAGGCCTTCATTGCAATTTTACTATTCCTTGTACAGTATGTTTCCCAAATACATAGATTGAAGCCAAATATTCCATCAATATTTGTTATGAAAAGCAAATTCAGTACACGTACCTGGTACATGTCTTGATCTGTAAAAAAATAATAATATAGATTAGGCCTAGTTTGTGAAATCAACTTTCTTATAATGTCAATAAGACAACGTCTTGTGGTTTGGTGATCTTATATCTTTGATGTCTGTTGATTATTTGTATACCAGTACTTTATGTTTTGTCTCCTGATTTTTAGTGTGTACTGTTGATTTGTAAGTTTGGGTAAATAATGACACACGCTTTTACTTCTGTGGTTTGAGATGAACTTGCCAGTAGCTGAATTAGTGATATTTTATATTGAACAAACAATGCTTGATGGGTTATTGTGTCTTGAAACAAAGCATATTAAAATATGTATGCATTGCCATTGGTATCTTAACTATCTTGATGCTGTATTTTGGAAATATTTGTTACAAATTGGAGGTAAAATGTGACTACCAGTAGTAATCACTAAATTGTCAGTTCTCTCTGATTTTATTAATGATATTTGGAATAGTTTGGTACGAAAAGACTGCCACAAATTTGAAATTAGTTACACAAATATAGTGTGATTATGTAGTGTTTTAGACTCCAATTCATGTTCATGATGCCATTTTGAGGTCCTTTGCTTAATACACACACAATGAACTTATAAAATTATTACTCTTGGGTACATGTACTTGACATATGAAATCTTTCATTACATTGAAAATTTATATAAACATACTTATCTTGATCGCATTGCATAATTTATTTCCAAGGCCTATATTTGGTCTTATTCATCGGTTGATTCCAATCAAGTTACTTTTCTGCAAGTTTTTGTTAACTCTCATTTGTCCTAAAGTACACATAGTCTAATTGAAAACCTTGTATCAATATTGTAAAGTAATCACAACAGTTTCTACAAGTACAGTGATTCTCTTGTCATTTTCATGTGTGTATAATTGTGATCAAATTACAAAGTAGAAAAGGGACAATAGGGCGGGACTGGGTGATTGGGAAGTTCTTAATATTAAATAATTGGACAAATAAAGTTGGACGGGGGTGGGGGTTGTAGCTGACTTGAAGATTAGAAGAAATTTAAATGGCTTCACCAAATTAAAAAGTTTGAAATACTAATGGTGGAGCCAAGCAGAACATGAAAGTTCTTAGTCGTAAGTATAACACTTTGTTTACACATATCCTCAAAGATCCTTTCCATGTACAATCTGTCGGATTTGATGGTATATTTGGAATAAAAAACATTCCATCTAACTTATCTGTTAATCAAAAGTTTGCCTCAAATCTCTTTGTCGTTACTCGCTGTCCTTTACAATGTATCATAAATATCAAAGCCCAAGTAAATTCTTGGATTAGACTCAGCCAACTTCTTTTTCGGTTGTTTAATCACAAAATCTGACAGTGTTTTGACAACCACTAGCAATTTGATCAACAAAACCAAGTGCCCCTTTTTACATCATCTAGTATTTTTCTAGAATAACTACCCTATGACTATTTTCTTGGGAATGCATATTTAAAGGAAATTTAGAGTAGAAAATTTGAAAAAAAAATTCTTATTTTATCTTTCCTTACATTTTTTATATACATGTATTTTCTCCATTGTATTTTTCATTATATTTCTACAATTTCAGGAAAGGTGTTACAATTGAGGGGTTGATTGAAATACTAGTTTCTGGAGTCCAGATTGGTCCTTAGTGAGATGAAAGATCTGTTACTCACATCTTATTTTCCATCTTTTTATTGGACACTTATTAAAAAAAAGCAAAAACTTTACATTCAAATATAGACTTGAATGGGTTCACACAGTGAATAATATCTTGCATTTCCAGGACAAGTGGCTTTGTGTGTAACATCAACCTATTTAATTTCTGAAAATCATTCCAAATTCTGATCAAAATTAGTATATACTGCTGTGTTAATAAGATCTCCTTATCCAGAAAGTCACCCACACTCTCATCCAGATTAGTTAGCTCTTATATACATTATGAGAGACATCAATTAAATGTTTATGTCATGTCCCAAACATCAATTTTCGCAAGTTAAAGTACAGTAACTATAATCTGTTCCAAGAACATTATTAAGAATTGTTTACAACTCCAGTTCAAAGAATTCAAAAGCCACAAGCTAGTTCAAAGTCATCAAAAAAAGAAGAAATTGAAACCCCCATTAGAAAGAGACGAATACCAGTTAGTTAATGCACCAACCGCCTGTTAACAAGATACAGTAGGAAACAAGTGGGGTATTTGAATTGCCCGACTTTACGCCAAGAAGCTTAGAAGATAAGAGACGAATACCAATAGAATGTCTTTATATGGAGATGATTGTTATTTTTATTACTACTCAAGCTGTAACAAGGTTGGTACTTTAAATATTCATTTTACCATTTTGGTTTATTACATAATTTTAATGTCTCCCTTTAAACACAATGTGATCAGTAATTTCGCTTTTGGCCTCAACGGGAACCAGTTGAATTCTGCAGGAAATCTTCATATCCAAAGACAGTTTGATGATGTGACGTTAACATGGGCATAGAAGCTTGGGATATATTACATGTATGCATTACTTTTATGTAGAGACTATTAATCCAGCCAGTTATGTAAACCAACAAGCAATTAAATATTTAGTTAGTAATTAGAAGAAATAGTTATCAGCATGTATGATTACGATGACTGGAACTTGATTGATATTTAGAATACAATTGAGTAAATTGTGTGTGCATAACCCAAATTATTAGAATTTTTGGTGTATGTTTTTTTTTATTTTTAGGGTACCATGTGCCCATATCGACATGTCCCTGAAGCAAGAGGAAATGAAACATCCTGTTCACTGTGGAAAGCTGGACATTGTGCCAGACCCTCTTGTAGATTTAGGCATATGGAAATAAGTGTAAGTTAAGAGGTTAATTTTTATAAACCCACATTGAAATATGGTCATATTGTTATCCACCCTTCCTTCTATTGGTCATCCACAATTGCTTGTCGGTGCTCCAATTCTCTTGAGTCTCAAATTGTACATAGTGTATAGGTTACAAAGACATGGAAGCTAATTGATTTTCACCATTTCCAATTATAATTGTCAGATATACAGTAGTTTCTGTTGCCTGCCAACTTATTATATAGAGACTAAATAGTGTTATTGATTAATTGACCAGATGGGATCAGCTGTGTAATTTATGGATGCCCTCATTTGAGCTTGAGGTCAAATACATGCAGTTAGTTCTATAAAATATTGATTTCAAATCTGCTTTCTATGGGTATTAAGGTTATTTAATGAGTTAAATTAAAATCTACTGACAATCTTATAAATTATTGATTAATTTTAGGGATTTTGCCACAATGTTAGAATATTGCAGAGATACCAATATTAGGGCCTTTTTATAAAAAATATTCTGCTAGTTGAATCCATATATTTCAAATGATAAATGAAATATTTCCTTGATGTTACATTCATTCTGGCAAAACAAAGCATACAGTTATGTTCCTTCGTGTTTTACACTGTAACCTGGGTATTATTTAATCTAGTGTATTTAGCACTAATTTCTTTCACATTCATTCAATATCAAATCTCTGTCTAATAATTCGTAAAAATTGTTTAAAATAACCAAAAATCAGCTAAATTATACTTGTGTCCAGTTAAAAGCTGACCATTCAATTTTGATAATGAGTGTCCAACTTACAAGTGTTTAATTTCTTGATCACTGTTAAAAAACAAACAGCCCAATAAATTATTGATGTATAAACAAAGAATTGATGTTAAACAAATGTGAGAGAAATTAGTACTAAATACACAAGATTAAATGATACCCAGGTTACAGTGTTAGTATGCAAACATCTACATGTATATCCTGTTTACTGATAATATTTATACAGAATACTTTTGTAATGATTGATGTAATTACTTTGACAGGTTGATAGATCAAACATACCTTGTTATTGGGAGTCCCAGCCTACTGGATGTGCTAAACCCCACTGCCCCTTCAAACATTATTCAGAAAAAGTGGAAACTGACCCCATAGAAGGTAAATCTATTATTATAACTTAGATATTAATTTTCAGACTTGATATCAAATGTAACTTGAAATACTATTAATCAGCCAATGGGAAGTCATTGTTTTTTTGTTTTTGATTTGTCAAAAGATTATGAAACTAAAATACTTATCACTAACATCACATTTCATGGCTCTACATTTATCTCAATATCTATTTATTTATGCTGTTATAAAAATTCTCTTACGGAATTACTAATTGTCATTTTAAACATCTGATCTGTATTACTGTACAGTATATTATTATTGGGGCATTGAATTCCTAGCACTGTCTTCCTGTTGTTATTCTTAGTGTTTAATGTCTGCTTCCACTGAGGGGTTGTCTTATTTTCATTTCCTTGTGGGAGGAAACCAGAGTACCTGGAGTAAATCCACGAGGTGGAGAAGGCGCCCCTATCTCCAAGCTACAGATGCTCACACCAGAGATCGAAACCACGGCCACAAGTCAGAGGTGACTGGCCAGCTAGAGCTTGATCACGACACTCTAGACCACTAAACCATCACAATACCCTCGTCTTTCGGGATAGTTACATGCATTATATATAGCTGCAATATTACTTTAGCCTAAGCAATCATACATTGAAGTCAAATTCTGTATTGCCTAAACTATGTTTTGTCTTTTGTTATTATTTTTGCATGTGTTCCTACAATTTATCATATCTATTAAAAGATTTACTTTAGTAACAAATCTTGTTTCTTTTTGCAGAGCGTTGTGTGATTGCTCCAGTAAATAAATCTATTATTAAGAATTTAGAGAGGTCCACACCCAGTCCTACTAATCAGTATAGTAGATCTAGTCCTAAAATAGAACCAGTTGTTGTTAATCCTTCATCAGATGGTAAGATATTTCATTAGTTTGTGCCCTTCACTTTTAAGAATAATATCTGACAAAAGAAAACTGGTTAATCTCTTGATTTTGAGGAAATTAGAAAAGATAGAACATTGGACTCAAAAATCCATTAATGGTTAATTAAATGAATTTTGACACCAGAAGAATGACTATGTAGTATCAAAGAATTATATCAGTCCAATACAATTTAATATGAATAGTTTGTAATCAAGTGATCATGTTATTGTAGATTCTGATGAAGGATCTCCGTTAAAGAAACAAGCTGGACAGAACAAAACATTAACAGAAGTAACTGTTTCTAGACCAAAAATTATTAGTTTTAAAAAGAATATAGCAGGTATTTAATTTCAGCTACCTACAGCTACAATGATAATGATGTGATGTGTCTAAAGTATCATCCAATTTGACACTAAAACTATAAATAAATAATGTATTGGTAGATTCGGATGTAGTTAATTGCATATATGCATAGTTTTATTCGTAAGGATTATATCAAACCAACATTCTTATTGTGCTCCATGCTGCCAAAAAGCCTTAAAACTATTGATAGTTATAATATTTTAGTGATTCGTTATTTGATAGATGTATAGATAAAATTACATGCTTAGCTATTTGTTGGCCAATACAAGCCACTGTTGACAAGTATTAATTAATATTTCTAGAGATTTTCATTTGACTACATGGTCACCTGAACGTTGCTGTTGTCCCCCTTAATTCCTTTACTTTTCGAACAGTGTAGGCTACACATTTAAGAATGCTTGATGGTAAATGAAACTAACTGTTTAATAGTTAGTGCAGGAGGACTGCACTACATGCAAACAAAACCAGAAAGACAAACCTGGGGACTAACAAACAACAAATATCAGATCAAGTGAATGTTTGTATCGAAATGACAGTATTTTGCTAATGAGATTTACATGTATACTCCACATGGGGGGGGGGGGGGCATAATGGTTAAAAGCATGCACATTAGATCACAAGGTCTGTCATTAAGTCAAGTGATGTGGTTTTGATTCCCAGTAGGGTCGCATGTCCAACCTCGTGGGTTTACTCCGGGTCCTCAAGTGTCAAGTTAAAGACCACTACGCTCAAGCGAATTATTAAAATAAAAAAAAAAACATGTTAGTCCCGATATGACCTAGTTTGTGTAGAGTGGACTTTGAACTCTCTCTCTCTCTCTATACTCCACAAGATATCTCATGGATGACCCTAAAATTATATGTCAGTTTGTTTTATTTTAGACACAAATAGTGCCCCACCTATCGAGGTCAAGACTTTAGAAGAGTTGCGAAGAGAAAAAGAAATGTTACAGATAATAAATGAGAGCCTTGGTAAGCTTTCAAGCATTCAATTTATCCATTGTAAATTTTATCATAAATCTTTTCTCAGCTCTCTCCATCCATCCATACATGGAAGAGATGGCACTAACTTTTCCACATGGATGGATTGTGTAAAGGTTGTATCTGGTTTCAATATATCATGAGTATTATTTTGACAGAAATATTCATCAAAAAATTTTTTTTTATTAAAGAAAAACCATTGGAAGATGATTTGGAACCTTATAAAGTAGTACAGAGATCTATAAGCCCTATTAGAAAGATAGTTCTGGAAACACCCGAAAAACCACAGAAAGGTAATAATCCTGTTTCTATTTATTTTAATACTAAAAAATATAATAATGTTTATCCTCGACAGTTACACAGGAAACTCATGTTTATTGAATAACTTGGAAAATGGGTGTGGGTTATTGCCCTTGATCACTTTAAACCGTCTTGTAGATTATGAAAATGTATTTTGATTGATTTGAAATTAATACAGTGATGATACCTATTAATTTTCATAATAAGTGTTAGATTCTTGAAGAACTAGAATCAATCAAATTTGTTTTATTTTTGTTAACCCTTGTGCAGACATGTCACACGAAAAACGTTGTCGGCAAAAAAGGGTAATCAAAGACCCCAGACATGAATTGGTTTTTGGATGCATAATTATATTCAAATACGATCAAACTACAGCTTCATATAAAGGCTGAATAATAATCAGGTATTTGAGGTATTAACAGTGAAGATATGAATTATCAGGTATTTTTGACCCCATAAAAATCTGTAAATAACTTAATTGTCATTTCCATGTGGAATCGTCTTTTGATTGGATTGTTAGAGAACCTAGATTTGTTTTCAGATCTAGATTACTAGAATGACCAATGCAATATCATCAGTTTAGTAAGAAAGATTCCAAATACAAAGCTAGCACTGAGAGCAGAACAGATTCGACACTTGTAACCAGCAAAATGTTTAAAGGAAAGGGGAGGGGGGCACTAGATCTCTTAAGTAATAGTCTTAGTTTCTTGTCAAATGGTGAATATTGCAAAACTGCGTCACTTTCATTTTATTTGCAGCATTATACTCAACGTTTAGTAGCTGACAATGTATAAAATTCCTTCTAGACAATTATGAACCAGTTATTCACAAATGTTAAATGGGGTGAGGTCGCAAAATGCCCCTTGTAAATGCACAAGGGTTAATTAGTTATTATTGTCTTTTTAATTTTCCCATTTCATACAAAACAATAGTTAATTTGAGATAACCCTTTTGAACTGCTCCGACGATTTAGCTGCTGTTGGCGTATGTTTTGCTGTCTGGATTTCTATCTTTGTCATTTCACACATTGTGGTCCGACTAGAAAATGTCTAATGGTTCTAATTTACACCAAGAATGAAGGAAAAAGATAAATAATTGAAATCATAGAAGATTATATTAAATAAAAACATTATTTTGGTATAGTTATCACCTGTTTGTATTTTCAGAGCCAGTTTTGCCAACAAGAATTAAGATTGTATCAAATGTAGACAATGGTAAACCAACGCCCACTGTGAAAGGTAGTTATATTTATTATATATTGTCATATTTTACTTGAAAAAGCATGCAGTTCATAGGAAAAAGATGGCCAATTAAAGGTAGTGATTTAAGGACCATTGGTATACCATAACAAACTGAACAGAATCTTTTTGCAGGTATTTTGTATGGAGGAAAGATGATGTTTTTCTTACCTTCGTTTTTAAGATAAAACTGATCTGGCATGTTTAGTAAAAATGATGACAGTATAATCATGTTTAGTGTGTTTTTGTGGGTGTGTGGGTGTGTTTTGTAGGCATCAGTACAGGACAATAATCTGGGGGTACATTGTTTTTAGGTAATGTTAAGAGTAGACTGAGTCGTAAACTAGGCGTGGAGAACAAAGATTCAGCAACTCCATCTCTTCAAGAAAAACCTAGACCAATTACATCTAGGCTGGGTCTGTCTGCCTCATCAACAACAAAAGGTATAGATTCTTATATAGCTTTAATGAATTTTGAAAAATGTATGTCATTTGTTAAAACCTAGAGACTCTCATCAGTTTATAGTGCAGTATTTTAAAGTAACATACTCAATTAAAGGGGCATTATGGGAGATTGGATAAACTACTATGATAGTTAAGAAATAGGTAATGGTGGATAGAATATGCTGAAAATTTCAGTCAAATTGCTCCACTCTGAACCGAGATATTAGTGATTGAATTTTGGGTCTAGCCTCAATCATCATTACTAAAGTTGTACAGACTTGATTATCCATTTTGACATTAAATCATCCATCACAAAATATCTTCAAATCCAATAAATATATCGTAGGCTAATGGCATTGAGAGTTGATTATGGTCTGGATAAGTTAATTAATGTCTAATTAATAATTTAGAAACATTTAGAAAGACATGAATTAGGCAGATTTAGCTCTTGCATAATGTATGTTTAAACTTGAAACCTGAGAATTTGATTAAATTTGTAATCAAATATAGCCTTTATAAATCTCAGATTTCATGTAAATATAGCAGTTTTCTTCTACTACAAACACTGATCTTTACTGCTAAATACCACACAGACATGAACAACCGTAAAAACATTATTTTTTATTTCATTCTTGTTTTGTCATTCTTATTATATTGTGTAGTCATTTTTATTCTAGAGTTATATTCTTGTGTTGTCATTCTTAGAAAATAAAGACGATGTCACAGAAATAAAGATTAAAAGTCTTGATGAGATAAGAAAAGCTAAATCCAATAAAGAAGCACAACCATCTCAGAAAAAAGGTAACATTTTTGTTTTCATAGAAGGGCTAGATATAAAGCATTTATCAAATATTTATGAATTGATATCCTAGCTATCTAATAATATAGGTTCATATTTTATATTTAAAACAGAGTATAGTGGCATTGAATATTTATATATTCATCATTTTAATAACAAACGGATATTTATAATCCATTATTTTATTGCTTCAGGTATACGAAGAATTACCCTAGTTAATGAAGAATCAGTTAAACAATCAAAAACAGTTAAGACCACTGGTCTGACTGAAATTAGAAAGAAGAGAACTTTAGGTGCTTTAAAAACACAGAATGAATCAGGTAAATTACATTAGGAAATGATGATGTCTAGGATTTACCACCAAAAATAAAATATTATTGGTAATTCATAGATATGTGCGATCTTGGTTGTCGGCAAGATTTGATATTCTGTCATGACATTAATTTCTGATTATTTGAGTGATTGACATAGCTGTTTACAGAACAAATAGTTTATTAAGTTCTATATTTTATCTACAGAACAAACAGATCAAGATAATGTAAATAAATCACCTGTAGTGCAACAAGAAAACAAAAAGAAGAGATTGATTCATCTTGATAAACAAAAATCCGCCAAGCAAGAACGTGCAATATATGTTCCTCCTGGCATGAAAACAAGTGGTAAGTGATTGTTTGTCAAATTTATCATTAGTTCACATATTGTTAAATAAATATAATCCAATCGCATTAAAGAGGCATTATCACTTTTCTCAGTTAAATGAAAGTAATTTTGAAGAATATGATATTTAAAATAACGTTATTCTTCTCTGATTATTGAAAATCCAATCTCGGCCTACTTAGAGAAAGCTATATGATATAATGGTATAGGCAAATCACATCATATCAAAAATGATCTTTTTAACAACCTTTGTCTTCATTAGCTCAGTGTTACATTAAACCCCATTTCATTCCATTTCTTTTAACAAGCTGTGAGGACTTTCATTTTAATATGCATTTCTGTAAATGGTTTTGCCAAACCTTTGCTTTTTTTATTATTAAAAATTGCAAGAAACCGCTTAAAAAATTAAGGTAAATTTGCCTTTTTAATATGGACACTCTACTTTTGGTCCCACTAGAGTTTAAATATTTTTTCCGATTTAAAAAACGTTTGAATATATCACCGTTACACCCTAATGACAGTTGTGTTTGAATTTCGTGGAAGTCAGACCCAAACTGCCGGACAAATGGCTCCTCCTTGTAAGCAAATAGTGTAAAAGTATGTAATATCAAGGTTGTGGACCCTCTAGACGTCACAATTTTTATCTGATTTTGATGAAACTTGAAATTATGTTTATATCCCAAATATCTCAGTCCCTTTCGACATTCGTGCATTTCAGACCATAACTTTCTGGATTGTGGTCCCTGATTGTACGAAAAATTGCTTCTTTTTCTTAGCTTGTTCTCTATCCATCTCTTGCTAAATGTGGGTGTATATTGCCTGGCAACCGCTGGTTTGAACTATTATTGCAAGAACGACCAGCTCTTTATCTAAATCTTACACAATGCATCTCAAACTGCCATTAATAATTGCTTGAGTCAAGGAATCAACTACAATATTTGATATTCTCTGATCCTAATAATGGTCTTTTGATAATGTTTACTGTAACAGTGGTTACAATTGAACACAATCTGATCAGTAAGAGAGTAAGACTGGGCAGTAAACATTTGTTTTGAAGTAAACTTTCTATTTATGAATATATAGAAAAATATTCTCTGTAAATTTGTATTAATTAAATTATTAACTTTTTATTTTGACAGAAACCAGTGTTTCGCCAACAAAGAGATCTCGGCTTTCTTCAAGTCCTGAATCTGAAAAATCACCTGTAAGTGTTTATCTTTTGATTTACACTGTGAAATGTTACCACTTATTATCGATTGAATCTATAAAAAATATTATAAGGAAATTTGTAAAATAAACCATTGTAATAACTTTATTTTTCTCTGAATTTTAGGAGAAATCAAAAGTTCGAGTTAAAACCTTTGCTGAATTAATGGCTGAGAAACGTAAGAAGAAGGAAGAAGAGGAGAAGATGGAAGTGAAGATACAGAAAAACATTCCTAAAAAATCAACACGTACTAACTTTACCCCGATTGTGTTTGATTTAAATCAAAAAGGTATGTTATTATGGTGTCATGAGTTCTGTTGCCATTCATAATTATTGATTTAAGTGTGCCTTGTGGTTTTGTTCATCCAGCAGAATGTTATGAAAACTGTTTTTTTTTTTTTTTTAAATCTGTTTTTGAAAATTGTATTGGGTATTAGCAAGCATTAAAAAAAAAGTAAGTGTAAACTAAGTGCTGAGCTAAGAAAGGCAGGAATATGTCCCCTACTGGTCATACCAATATTTGACAAAGATTTTGTTTTTGTATTTTATTATCATTTAAAGAACATGGTAGTCTACATTGTCATTACTACCATTGTTATGTAATAAACAAAATCTTGATATCCATTTTTAATTTATATCATTAACTTCCAATCGTATTTAAATCTGTTAAAATCAAAACCATCCGAAGTTCTAGAGAGTGGGTATGGCATGTAAATAAATGTCTAATTAATGATTTATATAACATTTGAGGTCAAACGAAATTTATATAACATTTGAGGTCAAACGAAAGATCTGCATTAGGCAGATTTAGCTCTTACATAATGCATCTTTAATGTACATTTCAATGTTATGATTGGCTTGCATTCATTTATCATTTGGTATTATTTAAGTTTATAGTTCCCTTTCAATGATTATTTATCTGTTTATATCCAACTTGAAGCAGTTGATCTACTTCACCCCTTTCAACTGAAGACTGACATCTGGAAATTAGTGGAAATATCACATGCGCTGTGATCAATGTCCCAGCTACTTCCACTACTTACTTTATGTGATTGTTTTTTTGACTGGTGAATATTTCACTTTGTGTGGGCTGCAATTTTGGTATCAAATGTAAACTGGCTCTATATATTTATAGTATCATGGGTATACCCCATATTAATTCCCCTATTCACGTGATAAACATTGTTTTTTTCTGACCATGTGACAAACCCGAATTTATCCGTATTTAGCCACATGACAACATGATATCAAAATGAAGATCTATGTATTTAGCAGTGAAAATAAATGTTTATTGATTTTAACAACGAAAGAAAATGTCCCATACACAGAATAAATTTAAATTCAAGTTAATTCTTATCGGCTTTGGCAAATAAAAATGTTGGTGTTAAATTAATAGAAAAGAATTGATCAATTGGAATAATTTTGTGATCTGAGAGAGATTTTGTGAATGAATATCTCTTTGTTTATCCTTGAACTTAATCAATGATTAAATTTATTTTATAGAAAGAATGGCGACCCCAAAAGTTGTTGCTGCAAGCCTACCATTCAGACACAAGAAATCAGCTTTTGTCACACCATTACCCACCAAATCTGAAAACGATTCTGAATCACTACCTGCAAAAGATATCAAAACTCAAATTGTTCGTCCAGTCGTTTCAACTGGCACATCCTCTCATTATATCAAAGATGTGGCCATAGTTTCACCATCGTCTGGGTCAAATAATTCGCATAATAATACAGAATCTACACATCAATCTCCAAGCAAACAAAAATCTAAAGAAACATTAGTTGACTCAAACCATTTGAAAAAAGAAACCAGCATTCCATCAGTTGTACAGTCTAAGGAATTACATAACAAAGGGACTGGAATCAAACCAATTATTGTTTCTGCTTCAAATATCAACACAACTGTAAATGTTTCAAATGTTAGAACTGAAAAAGTAACCTCAAGTGTAAATGTTCCAGATGTTAAAACTGAGAAAGTAACATCAAGTGTAAATGTTCCAGATGTTAAAACTGAGAAAGTAACATCAAGTGTAAATGTTCCAGATGTTAAAACTGAGAAAGTAACATCAAGTGTAATTGTTCCAAATGTTAAAGCTAAAAAAGTAACATCAAGTGTAAATGTTCCAAATGTTAAAGCTAAAAAAGTAACATCAAGTGTAAATGTTCCAAATGTTAAAGCTAAAAAAGTAACATCAAGTGTAAATGTTAAAACTGAGAAAGTAAATGTAGACTCAAGTGTTAATCAAAGTAGTGAGGCAGTCCCAATACCCTTGGCTGTTAAAAGAAAATCTACAAGTGTCGGATCAGACAGGTTAGTATAGTTAAGATCTCATCCATTTAGTTTAAAGATTTGCTTTCTAATAGGGGGATCACGGTGGCTAAGTGGGTAAGGCGCTGGCTCGCTAGCCTGGAGGTCGGGTGTTCGATCCCTGCATTGGCCGAGAAAGTTCATCTAGATTTTCTGGTGTGGTTCTCCCTTGTCAGTGATGCAGGACGGAGGGCCTGATAAGGACAGTTGTCTAGTTGTTCGGATAGGACGAAAAACCGAAGGTCCCGTGTACACATTGACGTGCACGTAAAATATCCCTTGACAGTTGGAATTCGATATAAGAGTAGGCCGTAGTGCCGCTGTCTGGGCAAAATTTCCCTCATAGCACACTGTATGGCGTATGCCCGTCTTCATTAGCCCAGTTCGGAGCAGAACAGTAGGACGTTAAACCCCATTTCATTTCATTTTATTTTCAATTCTGCTTTCTAATATTTGCTGAATTCAAAATGAGACATACAAAACAACACAGAAAGCTTATTAATTATTAGCTTGGCGGAATCAGGTGGTTCAACATTAAAAATTGTTATCTTCCCAGTCTGATGTTTTTATCTTTTCTTATTTATTATTTCAGTGATAAAAAGAAATTACGACAATCTTTCAACATGTCTGAAGAAGAAGATCTATTATTTGGAGATGATGACAAAAACTTTACGCTGTCGTCTGACGATGACGATATTTTAGGAGATATAGATGCTTTGTTAGCCTAACTAATTTCAGATGTTCATAATAAGAATAATTATTTTATGCGTTTTCAAGCTTGTGTACACTGTTTGAATATATTTTGAAAATAACCCTTACAAGTAAAGTGCAATTTTATCATGTCGCTCGTCTTGATTGTATAAACTTTAGATGTATAAATTACAATATGAAAGTGCTAATTGATGATAAGAATAAATGAGTAAAATTGTTACATATATTGAAATATTTCATCGTTTCAAGTTACACAGTGATTTGTATTAAGAGATCTCAGTTTCATTTATAATCATACAAAACAATGTCAGGTTATAAACTTTGTAGTAAGAAAATCATGAGTGGTAGGGTTTATGCCCAGTTAGATTTTTTACTATAAATAACAATAATAATTATATTATGGATTGCGTAAATACAGTAACAAACATTTGTACTGAGATAAAAAACCCAAAAACATTTATATCTGTATATTTTTCTGTATATTATTGATTTCCTTGTAATATATATATGTAAAATATGTCATCCATACTTCCCTTAGCAGAGTGTATATCACTGATTTTTTTTATTTTTGATTTTGAATGTTAATGAAAACGGTAATTAAAGCCCTTTTACGATGTGATAGGGTTAACTTCAAATATTGATTTACCGGTTTTAAAGCTAGCATATAAAACTTGTTCATAATAAGTTTTACAATTGTAAAAAAGTACAATACTATAGATTACAATGTGAAAATTATGACCAAGTTATTGTGAGAAATTAGATGTTCTTGTATTAAAAAAATTAATAGTGCATTTATTGTCTTGTTTTTGATATAACAAAAGGGGTAACTTCAAATATTGATTTACCTTAGGGACTTTAAGTTAGTTTATCATACATGTTTTAAAGTTTTTAAAAGAATTATGAATTCAATAGCAACTTGCTATATATTTTATTTGTTTAAAGTCAGTCATAGATTTATGTTTTGCGCAAGGAACTGTCATAGTGCAGTGTACATTTATTTATCAGCTTTGTATCAAAGCTTATCAAAAATTCTGATTTAAATGTTTGATTTTGTCCGTGCATTGAAACAGTCAAAAGATCAGCCTATCACCATAAAGTATTGAATGTAAATTATACTGTATGCATTGTTAAATTTTTGTTTTGTTTAATCCTCAGAGACAAGGAGGATAATAAAATTTATTATTTCAGTTTGTTTAATCAGACTTTCTCTTTGAATATGTGATGTAAAATTGGATGGGTGGGTTGTGTTGGAAAAATGATTCTTTCATAGGCCACTTGTGTAGACAAGGTAACCTTGTTTCCAGTGATATTGATAAACCAGATTTTGCCTGCCAAAAGTCTGCTTGATGTGATTCTAATTGGGACTGCATCATCATTCTAAACCAAGTTTGGTTAAATCCAACAGATTCAACTTCACTTTAGACTGAAATTTTATATATTTCTCAAATAAAGTTGATTGATCATCTTCAATAATTTCTATAAAGTTAAATTAAAAAGATGTATTGAATTATCCCCATCCACCAAAATTGTGACTAGTATTTCCACATTAAAGTTTTAGAAACTGTTAAATGAGGTTGCAGGCTTTACAATTCCCTTGTTTATAATAACTTAATAATGAAATTATTTATAGGGAAGTTATTCCAATGAAAGTATGGTATATATGGAAAATAGAGACACTCAATCTTTCTAGAAATATACTGGATTATCTGAAAAACACCCATAGGATGCCCACAGAAAAAAATTGTAAGAGTGCCTTTAACTGGCAGCACCAATAAGTGACATAAAGAGTGCCTCTTATGTGTTGATCTGAAATGAAATGAGGTTTAACACCCTGTTTTTCTGCATCGACTGGGGTTAATGAATATGGGTGTCCACCGTGTAGTGTTACGTTTGATTAGAGCTGTTCCCACTTAACACTGCTGTAATGGAAGCAAATTTCTGTTCCAAAATTATAATTATGACTGGTCAATAGTCCGATTAACAACCAGTAGCTAACTTCGTTACAATATCATAATGCTTTAAACAGAGCTCCAAATTGGACCAAATATGTTTACATAATGTTACGTCATGACTCACGATTTTATTACGCCCAATTAACCAGTCCATAGCAGAATATTGCAGAAAGACTAATTGCATGACAAATGAGGCTATCAAAACGGATACAATGCAAACAAAACTGTTTGGAGACGAACAATACTTTCACTTCACCGTTTTTAATAGTTTTAGGGAAGACTCCAGATTAAACGAAGGGCTGTACTTGGGATAGATTTGATTGAACTGGAAGAATAGAGACACGCCCTCAAAAGCTTAAGTATCAGAATCCAATCCAGCAATGGCAAGAGTGGGATTTTTTGGACCATTCCTTCTGGAATATGCCGTGCAGTGTGCTATGATGGAAATTTTGCCTGGACAGCAATTTATTTCGAATTCCAACTGTCAAGGGTTCTTTTATGTGTCAGGCTCTCTGTCAAAGGGAAACCATGCTTGAAAATCTTGAGAACTTTCTCGGCAAACACCAGGATCAAATCCCAGGCCTCCTGGTAAGGGTGTTAGCGCTTACTCATTGAGTCACCGTGACTCCAATGGCTAACGGTTGCCAGAACATTAAGAGACTTAAACGTCCAGTAGACTGCGATTAAACTGCTGTAAAAAAAAGTTTTCCGAGGATAATCCAAGAATTTACTTTGGCTTCAATATTTATGGTAAATGGACAATGACTAACGACAAGTGATTTTGAGAGGGATTTGAAGAAAAATTTTGAAAGATAAATTAGTTTGAATGTGTTTTTAGTCTAAATATATCATCAAATCTGTACCTGTTAACTTTAAAAGACCAGTTCAAGCATGGAATTTTCCATTTATGATATTCCTGGCAACAACTGGCAGACTATCGCTATAAAGAAACGCCATTCAGAAGGCAATCACCTTTAAGACCGGTCGCATTATTTCTTTTCCATCCTTTTGAATTATTGCCATTTTTTTTTTTTTTTTTTGGGTTACGTTCTATTTTTTTATATGGTCAAATGGAAATGTGGTTATATATTGCTGTCGCCTCTGTCAGTCTGTGGTGGAGTGATTTTCGTTTATAACTTCTAGACCTATATGGCTCTAGTTTCACTTTGTTAAACCTTGTGAACGCTCTATAACTACAATAATTATCATATGATCTGTATTAAATTTAAATGCTTTATTAAGATTTGTAGCCCAAATCGAAGATGCCTTCCGAAGTTAATTAAGCAAATTCTGTTAATAATGTCTACATTTACGGCCCTTGTTTCACTTTGTCAAACCTTGTGAACATCCATCTTATATGAAATTGATATCAGTGTCATGTACTAAATGCTCAGTCTGTCGACTGCACGGACGATTTAGCAGCTGTGGACATGTATGTTTCGTTGCCTGGCAATATCTTACATTTTGAGAGCACGTACAATGTCTGTGTTGTTTACTGAGTGTTACAGAAAAATTTTACCAATCTCTTGTAGGGTTTGCCAGAATCTTTTTATCTTCACTTTTGCATTTGTACTGTCGACTGAACTGTTAAATTAAAATAAAAAGATCTAGGTCGATCAGCCATAACATAAAAAAAAAACATGTCATAGGCCTATAAATTATTATTATTATTACAAGTTTGTTTTTATATGGCCAAATGGAAATGTGGTTGTATATTGCTGTTGCCTCTGTCGGTCCGTGGTCGAGTAATGTACGTTTATAACTTTAAGAGTTATGGCTCTAGTTTCATCTCATTTTTTTCACCTGTCTATTAACATTAACTGTGTTTTTATCTTGTGATAAGTGGAGAGCTAAATGCACCTTGGGCATTAACTTGGATGGATCTGGGCGCAATATAAGAACTCACTGTTACCTTAGCCTTAGATATAGACCCTTCATGTCAATGGATGTTATGATCTAGAATTTGCCAGAACTATTTTTTTCTTCACTTTTGCATTTGTACAGACTTAAACATATGACTAATGGGTGTGTTTAATATTTGATTATCATAATCTGTAGTGCATTTATATTCAAAATAATTTTCGTTAAGACTGTTCTGTTTTATATTCATACAGTGCAACATCTGCAGGGATGGGAGAATGGATTTCAACTTTGACCAAATTAAATATAAATATAAGAAGATTCTCAGTCGATTAGCAAATCATGTGCGAAAGTTCATAACAAATACAATGTCGATTGGTCAATCATGGATCTCCATCATGGGCGTGGATTTGGGGGGGGGGGGGGGAGGGATGTACCCCCCTGTCCCCCCCTCCCCATGATTTTGATCGCCAGGCCATCTAACCACTGTCTTGGGTCTCGCCACAGTTACTGATCTTCACGATATATTCCTCCTTAATTGTAGGTGGTCAATTTTTCCATATCGTCATCATATTACCCCTAGTTACAGCTTTCATCGAAATAACAATGGTACAGTATACTGTCCGTAATTATTGTTTTGGTTTGGTAATGAAATGTTCCAGGTTCCAGGGTTTGCCCGTCCCCCTCAAAAGTTATGACAAATCCACGCCCTTGATCTCCATTATTAACTAATGAATAAATTGAATGTGGGATAAAAATGAATTGTCACTACAAAATACAATAGATTATATTTTTTATTTACAAAATTTTGTACATGTTTTACAATTTAACAATTTCCCAGGCCTAGTTAATATTTTATATAAAGATATGTTATTTTCTTGTTTTTGAGTTTACATGATCAATGGGAAAACAATCGTCACAAACAACCAATAACAATTAATAATAAAAGGAACACTTGAAAGCTTGACATTCTTTAGGAAATGAAAACTGACACGGAGACAATTTATTCCTACACAAAATCCTTTCCTTTTTGGCAGTTCTTCTTTAAATTTAGGCATGTTAAAATATTGTCCTGTATCAATTGATAGAGAGATTTATATTATCTGATGCGAATTCTAAAGATGGAAATATTCTATTCAGAAATTTTTTTAAGTAGAATAGGGTTTGTTGTAAAAAGATTTTCTACCCTCGATTGCTATCCAATACTTTCCAGGCTGTGTTTATTATAGGCAGGAAGCAATTTTATAACAACAGTCTGAATAGCCTGGACTACATCTTTTAAAATTTCCCAAATGTAGCCCAATACATATAGGTTTCACTGTTACAGTTAAAGTTATTAGCAATCACACATTAAATTGAAATTCTTCCTTTTCGCAAAATAAAAACAAATTAAACTGTTCTTCAATAGTAGAGTTTTAAGTATGCCAATTTTCTGAAGAATTTTTTTTCTTCTTTTGTACTAAATAACTGAAAACACAAAAAAAACAAAAGATAATTTGGAATGAATGAATGATGCAAGAAAAGATTCAGATTGTTCCAAGTGAAGCTATTAACTATATGGTTTGAAAACAGATTTGAAGAACATCATCATACAATGATTCAACTATCTAAATCAATTCCCAGCTTACTACAGAAGTACATGTATTAATATTTCAACAAAAAACATCCATTTTGAAAACACAGCCTGAGCCCACCACCAGGTCCGTTCCAGATTTAAAATCATTGTCAACAAATGGAGATAACTTCACAATTTGCAATTGATATTTTTAAAATTTCTATTCAAGTGTTAATACTACATGCACAAAGAACTACATGTATTCAAATTAGTTTTAAAATGTCCACCACAAATTTAGTCCTGTATCATGTTCACAAGCTTTAAATGTAAAAAAGTGACTGAAAACATACTCCTAGAATGCCCTCATGGACACATGGACAATTCCACTAAGGATTAAAACTTATTCTGTAAAAATAGGTAAATCAGGAATGTTGTATGAATAGCTACCAATATTATTTATACCAACCTTATCAGTATTTTTATGAATTGTGCTTTGAACACTAATCTCTGGTAACATAACTGGAGCTCCCCCAAAAGACTGGTGCCATTGTACTTGTCGATTTCTAGGATTACTTTGATCATAGGTACCAGGTCTAAAGTAGAAATTCATAAAGGAATTATTTAATATCAGACAATTTAACACTTTGATCTCATAAACTTCATGGCAATTAACCGCTATGTCCTGTGTTTGATATTGGGCTTATTGGTACTCAAGCTCTTTACATATTCAAGTACCGGCCGTTCACATTCCTGCTTTGATTGATATCAAAGAGAATGAAATATGAAATGGCTGCAATGACTGTAATATGACAAGAGGCAAAGAAGGCTAGGCATTTGGGATTTTTTGCCAAATTTACAAACTAAATATTAACAAAAAAGTGGGTGTGACTGTGACACCACCCCAAGGGGTCGAGGCATGCACGAAAATAAATAGTTGCTGTCTTTACGGTATAAGGAATAAATATGCAAAGTTCCAAGATGATCCATTCAGAATTGCAGCCTGTAGACAATAAATTTGGTTGTGGCTTTGCCCCTGGGGGTTGGATATGGAACAATATAAATAGGTACCACCCTGTTTTTGAAATGATTTATATGCTGAATTTGAACAAAATCTGTTAATTATTGCAACCTGTAGAGTATTTGCACAATTTAGTCCACTTTGCTGTGAGAGTTTTCTTGGAAAAATATTAAAGGGGAAGACCAACGATTTTCAACACGGTTTCCATAAACCTTAATATATATGGATAAATAATTCTATCTGTAGCACAAGCAAAAAAGTTTTTGTAAGCGAGAAATTAATTTTTATTAAAACAAGAAGTGACATAGTTGGTTCAACACGCTGACTGGGATCTATAGTAAGCATACAGATTTGGCACAAGTTTACTGCTGTATTGTGTTCACGCGTTGTCCTTTGGGCAAAAATCTGATCAAATGGGCTGTTTATTAGGATATCATAAACACAAATTTATGCTTTTTTTAACGTTTAGTACACAAATTACAAAGCCGTCGCGTAAATTCACCCATACTGAACAGTACACTGTGTCTCAATTCACGTCACATGGCTAATTGTTTATATCACGTGGTTTGATCGACAGCTTGCAAGTGACATGTGTTTCGTCTGCTTCGATGTTTTTATGCTTGCTGACCGCGTTTTTCAACATAAACAGATCAAAGTTATGGGCATGTGAGACATATAATATAGTGCATTTTGGCACATAATGTCGACGTGAACGGCTTTTCCTTTTTTCTTCCATTTCCTCTTGAGAATGGCTGGGCTCGAATGTTTTTACGGCATTACTGTAGACCACCCATAGAAGTTATATTTTATATTCCAATACGTTGCTGTCTGATGTTGACATACTTTGGAATTTTATATATTTATTTGAATATATATGTGCCACAAGTCCGTTGAAATAAATAAAAACACCGTCAGCAAATTCAGCATGCACATAAAAATTCAAGCAGACGAAATATTTCTCACTTGCAAGCTGTCAATCAAACCATGTGATGTAACCAATTAGCCATGTGGCGTGAATTGAGGCACAGCGTACAGTTTAGTATGAGTGAATTTATGCGATGGCTTTGTGTACTAAACGTTAAAAATACATAAATTTCGTGTTTATGATATCCTAATAAACAACCGATTTGATCAGATTTTTGCCCAAAGGACGACGCGTGAACACAATACAGCAGTAAACTTATGCCAAATCTGTATGCTTACTATAGAGCCCAGTCAGCGTGTTGAACCAACTATGTCACTTCTGGTTTTAATAAAAATTAATTTCTCGCTTACAAAAACTTTTTTGTTTGTGTTAGGGGATTATTTATCAATATATATATATTTAAGATTTATGGAAACCTTGTTGAAAATCGTTGGTCTTCCCCTTTAAGAAAAGTTAAAAAAAAATAAAAAATAAATTAGGACTTGCTCCGCTCTGCATTAAGGATCTAGTTTGCTCAGTAGTAATTATGTTGGAGTTATTCTGTTTTTTCTTTTGTCTCAGAAAAAAATGGTGCAATTCTGTGAAGCTGCCTCCCTCCACAACAGCATAAAATAACGGACCCTAAATAGTGACAAAACATGACATGTGGAACACAAAATAGATCGTGTGTAAATGTATCTGCATCACATTCTTACCCTGGGCTTGCTTCCATAATAGATGTTGAACTTCTTTTTGTCTGAAATCTCTCTGCTCCAACTTCGAAAGGTTTTTTAGAGGTTTCAAATGTTTTAGGGTCTGTACATGTTTTCTGATACGTTGTAGGGCAAGGATTCTGAATCTAAAATTATAAGATAATGTATGATAATTCATAAATAGTTGTCATTTTCTTATTCAGTAAAAGAATGAGGTAATATAAGCAAATTATAAATTAAAACACATTTACCATGGAATTCAATAAATTTAATCATTTCATTTGGTTATTAACTAAAATAAATATTTCAATATCTGCTAAAAAGGCTAAAAGTCAATTAAAATGTCTGCTCATGAATGTGAAGCTTCAATTGATTAAGTTGATTAAAAAGTCATTATGCAAGAGAAAAATTTGTCTATTGCCAAACCTATTATTATGGCTTCAAATATGGTCGGTAAATTGTAATTTAGACATTTATTCACATAACAAGCCCATAATCAACTCTCTACAGAAATCAGATGGCTTATAGTTATATTGAGTAGATTAGACAATGCCAGCCATATCTGCATTAAATGCTAATAATATGGCCAATCAAGCCAAAATTTTCCGGTAATACATGATGTTACTAACTGGAACTGCTGTTAAAATACTGAACGACAATGGAGACTTTCTTTATTATTGCGGGGCAAGTAATTACTTGTGGTTGACGATATGAACTGTGGGCAAAGTTTCTGTCAACGATCAGCAATTATCGGCCATTGTTCAGAAAAACTAAATTTGACTGAAATTTTCATAACAATCGTTTTCCCTTTTTTGAACTATTATGGGTTGAACGGCCAGCTCTTTCCCTGAATCTCACATAATGTTTCTTTAGTTTATTATTATAAATTTCTTTACTGGATAGGCCTACATGTTGTCTGTGAAACACTAGCCATATGTATAACAGTTTAACACAGTACATTATAAGTTCTGTGGGTCCCCTATAAGCTTTATAAGTCAACTTACTACAGTATGTTTTGGGATTCTTGCAGCTGTTCTTGCACCCAGTGTATAACCTTTCTCACTAGTAATCTTATGTTCAACACCATACCAAAAATTTGTTTTCTGTAAAAAATTGTAATAGGTTAAGTAAATTAATTTTTAAAAATATTTTAGATAACAATTTAAAGGTCTACCATATAACAAAATTACGACAAACATCATATTATAATAAACAATAGGCAAAGGTTTATAGAACCGGATCCCACCCATACAAACAAAAGAACAGGACCTGATTTCCCATTAGTTGATATTATCCTGTTATCTAGGAAACCAACGGCTGGTTGTTGTTTTCAGTAAAAAAAGATGAAACATGAACCCTAACTGCCATAGACAGTAAAACCCCACCTAACATTTAAGCATATCATTTTCATTGACTTTAATCACCTCTATAAATATTTGAAAATTTAGCACCAGCTCTCACTAAATGAAAGCAGGCATTACAGATGACAGCTCAAAACCATGCAACCGATTTTCTGGTTACGCAAAAGAAACTTTTTCAGATCACAGATTTATAAACTGAAACGAAAAATAACTGCCATGATTTTGAATTTAATTTGCTGTTTTCTCTTTTGTAAGAAGTAAAATATTGATGTAACAACTTTAATATGGCGGCTTTGGTGAAAATATTTTTGCAAAAATTTCTGGTGATTCAACGCTGCCAAAAGATTGCAGAATGGTACGATTTATATGATTTAAAAGTAAATTGTTTCAATAAAAATTACAATTTATGACACATCACACTCAATAAAATTGCTTTGTAGTAAGTTAACAAAATGTCAAACAGCATTTGGTTCTGGTGTTTAAATTAAAATATGGTACATTAAAAATGCTATACAACAATTACACATGTCATATGTCTATTTACAATTTAGTATACAAATTGTTGTTGATATTTGTATCGGCGGATAGTTTTACTAAATTAAAAGTATCTGATATGTGAAATAAACCCAGTGATTGTTTTCCATATATAAATTTGTTTTATATCATTGTCCTGTATGGTGTTCACAATAAAGTTTTTCCTTTACTAATACTAATACTAAGGAAAAATCCCACCAAGTTTTAATGAATTCTATTATTAGGAACTCTAGGACCTGTTGCATTCACAAGATTTTATCAAATTGTTCAAACATAAATGAATGATACAATCAAATTTTGATTGGGGTCTGCCTCATGGCTCAATTAAAAGGCCTTACAATTTTTTTAAAAATCTGTCAAGGACTGTGACCTGGAGAGTGGTAACAAGGCTCTACACAGCATTTTGAACTTACTTGTGCAAACATAAGTAAATTTTCAAAACCACTAGCCAAACAAAATTTTCAGTTGCCAAGTCTGAAGATTAGAATAATTTGTCGTATGATATAGCTAAATTATATCATGAACATACATAACTCTTCGTCCTATATTGGGCTATAATAATAATAAAAGATGTTTTAAACATTTTTTTTCCGACTGGGACTCACTGCGAGACGATGACGGCGAAGCTTGTAATTTTGCTTGTTAGGGTGGTCTAGCGTCAGTAGCATGACTATCATCATTTTTCCCCGACTGAGACTCACTGCGAGAGGAAGTTACTTTACTAGTAAAGTAAGACGATATAGGTTCGATTCGTCTGCTAGCCATGCTGTCAGCTGTCTCGTAAACTTCCGATAAATACAGCGCATGCGCCATGAGAATTACCTCGCAGAGTTGACCCAATTTCAAACCAGGAAGTAAAGGCCCATTCTCACGGTGCGACTTGTAGTAACTACTTGTAGCATCGACCCGAGATGCAGCGTGAGAACACCCTAGTCGTACCAACTTTTACCAGCTCCCAACCAGTTGAAAGCGAGTTGAGCGAAATAGAAACTTCCCTCTTTCAGTCAACAGATCGTATGAAATTGACCAATCAGAGACGTCGAGTATTAATACAAACACGAGTTCTCTCCCTTTGTTGTTGATAAACATGGACGCGAAGCGCACCCATCAAGAGCCGCTCAGCAAAGCTGAGACAGAGAATTTTGTCAATTATTATTATGTGAGTAATAAGACTTATTTTAAGAGAGACGTGCGGCAGGCTGCATTGGCGATGATCGCCATGCAGATGCAGGAGAGCTGCGACCGAGCGATGACGTGAGTGGGCCTATTCAATTTCTAGCAGACGGTACGCACTGGCAGTGGGTCTACGCAGTATCCACTGTCTAACCCAGACGGATTTGGGTTTTCTTTTTCTTTTTGTTCTTATTTATCAAATAAATGGCTTGATGACGCCATTATGCTAAGACAAGACGAGATTATCGCGAGATTCCAAGTCGTATCAACTCATTTGGCCACAGATCACTAACAATTTCCCCATTGACTCCAATGTTAATTCTCGTATCTTAGACCGGCTCTAACCTTTTCCCAAATTTTCGTTGGGTAGAACGCTTTGTACCACAGATGGAGCAACTACAAGTAGATACTACAAGTAGTTACTACAAGTTGCACCGTGAGAACGGGCCTTATACAAGAGTGACAGTCGACCGGGATCATTTCCGATTACGTTATCTTTACGGAGAAAAGTTCAGATAGCTATAGTGTTAATTGGGAACTTCAAGATATATGTTCACTCGCCAGAAACCTAGCATTTATAAATATCTGGTCGCCATTGTCAAAATTCACTCGCAAATTATATGCGAGTGTTTCAGTCGCATTGTAGAGCCTTGGGTAATAATAAAAAAAAACTAATTAAAGCATCACTAACGCTGCAATATACATCCACATTCCTGCTTTCATTGATATGGTACTTTTTATAGTGAAGAGAATGAATTATGAAATAGCTGCAATGATTGTAATATGACAAGAGGCAAAGAAGACTAGGCGTTGGGTTTGTTTTGCCAAATTTAGAGACTAAATATTAACAAAAAAAGTGGGTGTGACACCGCCCCAGGGGTAGGGGCATGCACTAAAATAAATAGTTGCTGTCTTTATGGTATAAGGAAAAAATATGCAAAGTTCGAAGATGATCCATTCAGAATTGCAGCCTGTAGATGATAAATAAAAAAAATTGGGCATGGCTTTGCCCCTGGGGGTTGGATTTGGAACAATATAAATACTAATAGGTACCACCTTGTTATTGAAATGACTGATATGCTGAATTTGAACAAATTTGGTTAATTTATAGCAATCTGTTGACTATTACAGACAAAAAAGTGGGTGTGGTACCACACCCATGGGGGGCAGGACATGTACCAAAATAAATAGTTGCTTTCCTTACAGGAATAAATATGCCAAGTTCCAAGATGATTCATTCTGAATTCCAGTCTGTAGACAAAAAACACAAACATTGGGTGTAGCTCTGTTCCTGGGGGTCGGGGCATGCACTAAAATCAATAGTTGCCACCCTTAGGCTATAAAAATAAGGAATACATATGCCAAGTTCCAAGCTGATCCATTCACAATTGCGGCCTGTATAGGGTAAAGACAAAAATTGAGCGTGGCTCTGCCCCTAGGAGTTGGGACATGCACCAAAATCAATAGTTTCCATCCTTAGCCTATAAGTAATATATGCCAAGTTCCAAAACACAATTAAGAATTGTGGCTTGTAGGCAATACACAGACACACAAAGAAAACAAGGGTGTAGCTCTGTCCCTGATGGTCAGCCATTCACCAAAAAACAATAGAGATCATCCTTAGGGTAAAGATTGTGGCCTGTAGGCGAAACACAGGACATAAGGAATAAATATGCAAAGTTTCAAGATGATACGTTAAGAAATGCGGTCTGTAGACAACAAACAAACAAATACAAGAAATGGACATAAGGCATAAATATGTAAAGTTTCAAGATGATCAGTTAAGAATTGTGGCCTGTAGGCAAACCACAGACCGCAATATACGTCCACTATAAAAATGTGGACAATACTACTACTTAGGCAAAGTTTCAGATAAAAAAAATCCATGGTTAGATTCTAAGATAAGATTTGTGGAAAAATAACCCCAAAAAATAAATAAGAATAATAATCTTAACAGAAACAATAAGCTTTCATATGAAATATGAAAGCTTAATGAGGTTGTATGCTTAAAAATTACATTTGTTAATACAAATATATATTAAAGTATTGTAATAATATTAATATTAAGATACATAATTTTAATGTTGAACGGATTAAACTTTAAACTTCAATGTCACCTCTTCATTTTCATAACATCCGGGTCCTCTATGTGGTGCACCTCGCAGTGGAACAACTTCATTCCCAAATCTATTCGGTGGCATTTTCGTAGGGAATAATTCCCTGTCCAGAGTTGTCATAAATGACACATTGACATTGGGTTGATTTTCCACTGAAAATATAGTGTTATTCTAATATTAAATAACTGAATAACAAAACTATCAACCTTCGTAAAGTTCTAACAACCAGTAGCGCAGTACAGTATTAATAGGTAGTACAGACTCACACCATCTAATTAAATGAAATTGGGCTGAACGTCATACCTTTCTGCACCAACTGAGCTAATAAAGACATAAGCTTGCTTATGCCATGCAATAGTTTGACTCATGAGGCATATTTTACCTGTCAGGGGCAGGGCTGTTTGCTCTATTTTGGATTTCCATGCCAGGCCCTCAATCTTACTCTTATAGCTGCACAACTGTTCCTGAGGTGAGGAACTTTCACAGCCAACACCATCACAGGAAGTGAAACCCAGATATCCTAGCTGTTTAGCGTCATATAGCAAGCCTAAACTTGCTATAATGGCATAGGCTAGGTTAAGGTAGGCCTATATACTGGCATATATAAATACAAGTTATTGTTGCAGTGTAACAATTAATACATTTTTTAGGTCTATACTATAGGCTTATAACTAATATTAAAGTATAAAAGTCAAAGACTAGGCCTAGGCAAAAAAGTTTAGCACTAGACGGCCTTTCTACTTATTATTAATATAGCCTAAATCTAGGTTAACAGCTGCCTAGTAGTTGGCTAGTGTACTTACTGTCTGAACCAATGTAAATTTTAAATGGATTTCGTCGATTTTGAACAAACTACTGAATAATTGTTATTAAAAACTTGCCTGTGTGTTTGAAATCACCTCCGGTTGAATAAAATCCATTGCACAATTGAATATCACAACGAAAAAAAAAAAGGTTTCTCTTGAAAAGTCAATGTTTTTGCTTATATTTTCGACTAGTTCATCACAACATTGTACATGTCACGTGATGAGCTAAACCATCTTAATATGTTGAAGGGGGCAATGGTTGACAAATTTTGACAATCACGTGTGCTGCAATCACAACAACGTGCAACCTTTCCGATTGTTTGAGTTTGGGCAACAAAAATGGCAACTGAAGACAATAAAATTAATTTGGAATCAGTTGATTGTCAGTCTACTAAATTTTATTCGCAATGAATATATCACCGATTACACAAATACCCGTAAATATTGCTTTTCACATCATCATGACCCCATAATTGTAAAATTATACCCTGTATATTATATATATTTTAATAAATTATATTAAGCCCTACATCCCTGTCAATTATATGCAACTCTGTGGCTAACACTTATAAATAAACACACTTTATTGCATAATTCTTTTTGATAATATTTCATAACGCGGGATCTAATCCCAATGCACAGCTGTTGTTAGTCCATTTTCAAAGTTTTATGATTACCACAAAAATTATGAAAAAAGGCCACTGCTTCTCAATAATTTCCATATACAAATTCATGTTCCGACTGTTCACGTCCATAATATTCCTGATTAAATTACTTTTTGAGGGTTTATTCAACAGATACTGAAATCCAAACATTGTTGATAAGAACAGTTTGGGATGTCTAAACATAGTTTATCGTCTTTATAAAAATGTATTTAAAACAAAAAATCACTTGTCAAAAGAGATATCACAGATTGCGTGTATTATTGGGTCTTGTGTGTTAATTATGCAGACCGTGGGGAAAAACTCATTCAAGTTTCACGCTAAATTTAAACATTTTCACTGCATCTGTCTGTGTAGCATACAATAACTCATATGGCATGGTACCTTTTACAGTACCGGTAATAGAATTCAAAGCGTTGATCGGTTGAGGCATTATCGCGATCTACGAAATGCCATCAGAAAATTCCATTCTCTGTGGATTTCAAAATGGAGTTGTACTTGTGATTAATATTAATAATATAGGCCTATAGTTAATAACTGAGAGTACACTCGCATTGGGTACATTGCCCTGTGAATTTCAAAACGAAGCCAGGATCTTCAGAATTTAATTGTGTTACCGAGATGCAAAATTCTGAACAGTTTTTGCACAACGGAAAAAATATTCAAAGAGAAATAGAATGACATGGGACTATCTGCCGATAATTAAACCGATGTGCGGTGTGATTTGTTCAGACCGTGTCTGCCTGGATGATGACCCCATTTTTTAGCTTGTTCTCTGTCCACCTCTTGCGAAATGTGGGCGTCTCTTGTATGGCAACCGCTTTTTTCAAATATATTTCATATTGAAATTCACACTGTATATCAAAGTAGCCAAGTCATCTACAGTCTTCCGGCATTGAAAACACAAATTATTTGTCAATTTAAATGAATGTTGATGTTGTGATTTTACCGGGAAAAGATAGGCCTATGCTTATGATATCCAAATTGTATAGAAGCCTATAACTACTGTTCATAATCTCTACTTTTCGTCTCTTCAAAACACGAAAGTCAAAAAGTCGAAAAGTAGAAGTTACGACAAAATGTGAGGCGACAGCACGCTATACAGCCAAAATGAACTCGAAAATAGGAAATTAAGAACTAATACACTGCGATGATAGCACCCCTCGTTTTTTCCTAATTTCTTATTTTTGACTAGCGTTTTGGCTTGTGTACCGTCTTGTCGACTTTCGTCTTAGTCATATTTTTGTATTTATTGATGTCAGTAAGAAGGCGTCAACACGCATACAAAGCCATAATGCAACTCGGAAAGTAGAATTTAGGAAATAAACACAACGCGCTATTAGCAACTTATCATTTTGGCTTGCTGTCGTACTGTCGACTTTCGCCTTGGAAGTTGTTGAGGTCTCAATTTACCAGGTCACATTTGGATACATGCAATTCGCGTTAACAAAATAGTCTGTATGATAAAGTCTAGTATTGATGGCGATATTAGCGACCTATGATTCTGGCTTGCTGTCGTACTGTCGCCTTTTCGCCTCGGAAGTTGATGTAGTCTCTACTTTCAAGGTCACTTTTCGACTTTCGTGTTTTGAAGGGGCGAAAAGTAGAAATTATGAATGGCAGTTATAGGCTTCCATAAAATTGTAAGACAAAATAAACATTTTACCATTGGTTCACGAATGCCTTTCGGCGCCATTTGTAACAAGGGACTCGAAGGACGAGGCTAGACATATTCCACAAGTCATTCAAATGGTTACATCCTATCTGGAGGGCATGCACAATAAATACTAAATCAGTTTATATACATTCATATTACATGTATTATTTGTTTCGCGAACCATTTGTGTCAATTTCATGGTCCTAAATTTTAATATTAGCGATTTAGCTCCTTCAAATAACAAATACATGTAGATTGTTTTGGTGTGACCTTTTCCCTGTTTGTAAATAATCAGTAAATGTTCATATTTTTGCACCAACATAGATAATTTTGGATCAGATTTTCTTTTACTTTTAATGATAATTGATAAGTTTGTAAATAGTATTGTACGATGGCTCAATAGGCCATTAATATTTCGATATTGAACCCTTTCTATAGAAATAAATATATAATTGGCAAGAGTTATACAATGGTAATGTGCCCAACAACCCTTGTTTTACTAATGAATATTAATCTCCACAGGAAAAAGTTCCAAAATCATTTAATTGGTCAACGTCAAAGTATATGAGTAAAATAATGTAAGATATTTTATACCCTGGCTTAGACAAGTTGCTGTAGATATTACCAGGTGCGGATCCAGAGATGGGGGGGGGTCCAGGGGGTCCGGACCCCCCCCCCCCCCCTGCTCAGGCTTGAAAATTTGAAGGGTCCGAGAAACTTAAATCTAAAAGCCTGAATCTGACCCAAAAATTGCGAGTTTGTATACATTGAGTTGAGTCATGACTTTCATTCCATTGTGGGAAAAAACAAATAGTCACATACAGCTCTGACAATTAGCCAAAAATGTCGACAGCATAAATTGCCATCGGGACCAATTGACCCCATGGCAAATCGCCTATTGACGACGGCAATTTTTTAATACCGTACTGTATGAAAATATAAGTTTATTGAAATTTAAAGAGTTTTATTAACGCTGTTCGCCTGTTGACGTTGAATATTGTTGTGTTTGCTTTTTAATTTTATCGGCAGCGTTGATAAGAACGCCAGAGTGCCCTGGTGCTCATCAACGTTAACAGAAAGCTCCAGCTAAATGTCGAGAACATCGTTGGACAGTTCATCAGAAAAAAGCCTCGCCGACTTTTCTCTGCATTGCACAGTTAAAGTGAAGGTCCCACATAATTTTTGGAAGATAAATCTGTTTAATTTTGTGTGAAAATTTCCTGTAAACCTCTACATTTATGATTAAGCCTGTGCAACAATTGCAAGCTATATTATTTATTTTTATGCGCTGAAAGTAAAAACAGTAAACCAAGTGTATAGATTTTTCGTCTGTGGAAGTTTGTGCTCTGGAAAACCCCGACCAACTTTCCTATACTTAAAGGAGCAATATCGCTAACATTTGGGACCTAGAAATTGACAAAAGTGGGTTGCAACGCATATAATACTGTAATATGAAATTATGAATGTATATAAACTGATTTACATTCAATGCTTTCCGTTTTTACTCCAATTTCAAATCAGTTATGTTCGGCGAAATAAGCCAGCAGTCTCAAGCGAGTGCAAATTTCTAGTGTCTGGTTATTCCAGTCTACATACGCCGTTTGATTTGGTGCAATGTGTCTAGCCTCGTCCCTCGAGTCTCTGATACAACTGGGGCTGAAGCGCATTATGGAACACGATTCGTGTACCAATGGTAAATTTTTTATTTTGTCTTAAATATTGGATATCAAAATTCATCTTTTTCTGGTAAGATCACAACATGAAAGTTGATTTAATTTGACAAATAAATCGTGTTTTCAATGTTGAAGATTTTGGATGATATTGAGTTAGAGACTTAGCTACTTTAAATGGACTGGTTACTCTAATAGTAAATTGATACTTCTAATAAAGCTTGTTAAGAACAACCATAATATGGTATCTGAAGATATTTTGTTCCTCGTCTGTGAAGGGAGCTTTCCCCATCAACATTTTAAGGACATTTTATGCGATTTTATTGGCGATTTTTAGACCTGTAATTTTGGAATTTACCTTCCAGAAATACGTCAGAATGCACCAAATTGAATCTAATTTACCAAATTTTTCTGGGGGAGGGCCCCCATACCCCTCTTACGACATTTAGCGCCTTCGACGCTCGCGGCAGTGGGCTATGCGCACCGCAATAAGTTAAGCAATTATCCAACCTAGACCCCCCCCTGCAAAAAATCCTGGACCCGCGCCTGATTACATCTAATTAATAAGCTTATTATTACATTATGTAATATTTGAATCAAATTTTTTTATTATAGTAAATTGTTATTAAATTTGTTTATTTCTATGTTTAATTTGATTAATTAGTTTTTTTTATTCTCTTAATACTCTTATTCAAATCTCATAGAATCAGATTCCAAACCCATCTAGCTTTAGTTTAAGTTTTACATTCTAAATATAGAGCAGTATAATATGACACTTATACAATACACCATCTGAATAGATAATAATTGGGCGACAATTTTTTGTCTTTGAGAGGTTGATGACAGGATTCTCTTCAACAAATCTTTGAGGTCATATTCCCAAACTTAAAGAAATCTGGCTGATTTCTAGTTGGTCTTAAGACTGTATTGGATATCAGAAGCCCATCTTTTCCCGATAAGATCACAACATCGATGTTGATTTTAAAAAATTAAAGTGACAAATAATTTGTGTTTTCAATGTCGAAGACTTTGAACGATATTGAGTTAGACTCAGAGACTTAGCTACTTTAAGTTCATCAGGAAATATTAAAGGAATGTCGCTCTTTTTCATTTTTGTTCTGCACGTCACGTGTGTTCAAAAGAAATAATCCCACCCAACTCTCTAACCAAATATATATTATATAATACAAGACGGAAACAAAAATAACGGACTACGGGCGTATTTATGTTTGGACTACGGGCGTATTTGGACTACAGGCGTATATTTATGTTTGTAAACGCCCAAACTCATTACTGGGTCTGAGAGCAATAGCTTATTCATACACAAAATGTATAGGCTAATCATAATCTCAAAATCACCTTTTCCACATTTATGTTTGGACTACGGGGGTATTATTATTATGTTTGTAAAAGCCCATAAACTCATTACTGGGTCCGAGAGCAATAGCTTATAATTCATACACAAAATTTGAATTGTCGTGAAAGAGCCGAACCCTGTTGGCGTTACGATAGACAAGCCTTGCTGAGACTACTCAGTCTACTGAGAGTGAGACTACTGAGACCCCATACGAAATGATCTCAGATCTGTCCCGACAAGTGACGTAATTATATTTAGTTGTACTATTACTATGAATTTTATTTAACCGGAGGTAATTTCAAACACACCGGGAAGTTTATAATAACCGAAGTCAAGTAGTTTGTTCATAATCTAAGAAATCTGTTTAAAATTTACGATGGTTCAGACAGTAGTAGTAGGCCTACAGTAGATCTACTAGAGTCAGAGAGAGAGGTAAGCCAAGGCCTACTCTGAAGTAGTAGTAGAAATTCTAGTTTGAACTATGCCTATAGTGTTCGTAAAAACTTACCCTGCATGACTATTTGTTTCTTGAGAAACACAATTACAGCTTGAAAGGCTATAGTAATACAAATAGTACGAAAATTTGGTAATACTATCCAAGTTTTCTGAATAGCGTCTTCGGTTGCTATGTACGAAAACGGTAACTATGTAAGATTTCAGGCACGTCGTAAATACTGTTTTGTGGTCGTTTGGATGTCGTAAATAAGACCTATTTCCGGTAACCGGGTCATGGACGAAACTTCTAAAGGCATGTTATGCAGTTATGGTTGAACATTTTGTCGGCTTTACGTTTAACTGTCAACGATATCATGCTTCTCAATAGAACTGATCTTACATAATGATTTAATTTAAGTGACTGTAGTTTCCGTAGCGAAGACAACAAACATGGGCTTATTCTAGATATTTTCTGTCGATTCCGGTTCATTTAAAAAAAAAATATTATCATTACCATCTCGACTTCGAGTCTTCTCAATCTTCGTTGATCGAAGTTTAGGCAATCATCTTCATTATTTGATTTAAATTGAATAGCTATATCACTGGCCGAAAAGTTTATGAAGAAGACAATACCACATTACAATTAGAATACAAGTCAAAGGTACTGGTTAATCAGGTACCGTGCCTCATTTCTTGACCCACTGCCTGTGTCTGAGATTAGAAATGACTGGACTAGTTTATAAGGACCTAAATTATAGAGCCTTTTTCGTGAATCACAACGGCAATAACAGAGCATAAACCATCATATTTTTCATCACAAATTGATTATTATTATCTATTCAAATTCTCTCACATCCAGCTACAAATGAGCATTAATGATATGCATATTCGTGCAAATAAATCATCTTTTAAATCCAAGTGGTTACTGAATACTAGCTGGCCTAGAGGCAGATATTTCTATTTTCCAACCAAAGATGTGCATAACTAGCTATGAGTCAGTCAGTTTTTGTGGGCAATCAGTTTTTGTCAAAGCAAGTGCTGAAAGCTTGGGAGTGCTCTGACAGGGTTCCATGGTTCTCCAGCAGACGATTTTGAAAATTAGACTGTCACAAATATGTTTCTGGATCATTTTCTATTTGTCTTCTTGTCTGTGGAATAGCACAGTTTTGTAAAAATTTTAAGGGTGGTAGATTGCCATTTATAGATTGTCAGGAATTCTTAGGCTGACAATTACAGTTGTGATGGGCTTGTCATATAATAATTTATAGGCCTATAGCATTGTAAACAATAGGCAGATTTAGCTTTTACATAATGCATCTTTAACCCATGTGCAGACTATAATATATATTTTTTATTTCAGATATATCTGTGTGTAGTTAGTTTGATAGAATTACTTGTAAACATGTCTCGATCTTCTGAAGAAGTGCTCTTAATTGTGAACCATGTTCGTCAAAGAAAGACTGATGGAACATTGTATATGATGGGAGAAAGATTGGCATGGATGCCAGGTGGCAAAGATACTTTTACTATCAGTCATTTATATGCAGATATAAAATGTAAGTATTTATATACAATCAGGGTTGTCGGTAATTTTTCACAGTTGATTAGCAGCACTGCTAATCAAAAAGTCCAATTTTGCCAAATTTGATTAGCAAATTTAAAAATTGATTAGCAGTTTTTCAGTTTCAACGTAAAACACCTAAATAACAAGATATTACTTTAATTCATAACGAATTGAAATATGATTAGATTCCATTCTGACTATTCTTAGATTTTTTAGCACTGCCACAAGTACTTGTGACAGTTTGTGAATGCGATGTAGACATTTAGTTAGGTCTTACGTCTGAAGCCAATTCTTGACAGTGACTTCCGAAGCCCCACTCATTTTAATTGTAATTTTTTTGTTACGTTAGAAATCTTCGTTAGAAAACAATTTCGTCTGCTTTTTATCGTGTATTATTATTTTTGTTCAATCGGGCGCACCTCGATTAACTAGACACACGCGATATAAACAATAATATTTTACGGGAATTTTTTCTTTGATTTATCATTTTACAATACGTTAACATGTGTTTATTTTTTTTATATTTTATTTACAATACGTGGGAGATACACTGGATTTATTTCTTTCAAAATGAATATGATATTATTACTTGATGTCTCACAACGTGAGTGGTACTACTCGATTCCCTATTTCCGGTTTAATAGTCCCTATTCATAGAGTTATGTCCCTGTGTTATATAGTATTGTGTCTGGGCAGTTCAAGAAGAAAATGTCACACGGAGAATTCAGTTTTGTTTATAAAATTTTATTCAACATTTTGTACACGTTGAAAGTGTTGAGTAAGCCTTCTAGTCTTCAAAATGTGGATTATTCTTGTGTCAATATCCAAAATGACAGGCATATTAATGATTCGCAGTAACTGCGAATCAAAAACGTTAGATTTTAATTTTTGGTTAGCAACGGACAAAATATGTATCGCAAATTGCGCTGCGATACTGGTTGTCGGCAGCCCTGTATACAATGCCTACACACCAAGGGACGTTAATCAGTTGTAACCATTATAGTTCTTTCCAAAATTCTAACCTGATTTTCACTAATACAAAAACATAATATGGAACACAATTACTATTTTAATTAAAGTGACGTTTCGTTGAGGGTTCTCTCAATGTTTTCAAGCAAATGATAATGAAAATAATGTACAAGGTTTGTATACAAAAACAAGTAACAACTAATTAATCATAATCAATAGGGAAACCATTAAATATACTATTCAAAAAAAGTAGGGGATATTTGATTTTTAAGTGTTATTAAAGTCACCTAATGAAACTGACGAAGAAACAAATGACAAAATGAAATGAAGTTCACATTCATCGATTTATTCCTAATGATCGTTAGACTAAGTAAGGCACAGACTGACCATTATAAGGGTAAAATGATACCCGGGGTCAAACAGCAAAGTTACCGCAGCATCACAACCAAGTCAGTAACGGGTAAATCCTCCTCTGTTTGCCAAACAAGCATCGATCCGATGTGGCATACTCCTAATGAGACGTCTAAGGTCATTTTGGTCCAGATTGTCCCATTCCTGTTGCAACGCAGCAGCAAGTTCTTGGACATTGGCAGGACGTTGTTGACGTTGACGTAACCTCTGTCCAAGCATGTCCCAGACATGCTCGATGGGGGAGAGGTCGGGACTCAGTGCTGGCCAAGGTAATGTGGTGATGTTCTGTTGTTGGAGGTAACCTGTAACGATCCTGGCCCTGTGACATCTTGCGTTGTCATCCTGGAAGATGAAACGGCGGCCATGACGTCGTGCGAACGGCAAAACATGGACTGCCAAGATGTTGTCCCGGTAGTACTGGCTTGTAACACGCCCTGCAACAACATGTAAAGCCGTTCTTCCAGCAACAGTGATGCCTCCCCACACCATAACAGAACCACCCCCAAATCGATTATGTCTGATGACGTTAACGTCTTGGAAGCGCTCGTTTCGACGACGCCACACCCTCCTATGTCTGTCCAAAAAATCAACAGTGAACCTTGACTCATCTGAAAACATCACATTGCTCCAGCGTCGATTATCCCAGTGTTGACGATCCCTACACCAACGACGTCTTGCCTGAATGTGATGATCTCTCAAACAAGGGATTACGCGAGGACGTCGGGCGCGAAGGTGACCCCTATGCAGTCGATTCCGAATCGTCTGGCCACTCACTCTCACACCAGTGTCTGTTTGAAGACGAGCACTGATCTGATTTGCTGTGATGACACGATTTCTCAAGGCCAAGGTACGGATAAATCGATCCTGGGCTTGAGTTGTCGCCCTTGGTCGACCTGAGCGTGGTCTGTCCTGTACAGATTGTGTATCACGGTATCTGGACCATAGCCTGCTTATGACAGACTGAGAAACATTCATCGTCCGCGCCACAACCGCCTGTGTTGTGCCGATCTGTAGCATGCCAAGGGCACGTAACCTTTCATTTTGGGTAAGCTGACGCATATCAAAATTTGTTTTCTGGTCACTAAAACAATTAAACTGATGTTTCCACCCTGGAATTCAATGCCACAATGACTGTAACATTAAAAGTCAGAGTCGTGCAAATCTTGGGTTGGACCCCCATGATGATCCCAAGCATCACCTGCATTCCATGCGGTAGCTATTGGTGCGTTTGGGCGTCACATGTAACTGGAAATGTTTCTTCTGTTAGGTTCTATAGTGACTGTTTTCGTAGTCATTTGCATATTTTAGTATTATGCCCCCAAAATCAAATATCCCCTACTTTTTTTGAATAGTATATATTAAGTCAATCTTCGATGTAGGCATAAGAGCTTATGAAACCTTGTACACAAAATATATAACAACTAGTTATAGCCAATAAACCATTTGGGGAACCACTAATTATAGTAAGGTTACAGGTCAAAGGGAAACTTATAATAACATACAAAATAAATTACATCTGATTAGCCAATAATGGTTAGGGGAAACTTTATAGTAACAGATCAGAAGGAAACTCATCAAGACATATAGAAGGTAATTATTATATAATAGCACACAATTATCAGGGAAATTACTTATTGTTTCATAGATGAGAAAAACAAAAGATAGGAAAACACTTATTATATTCACTTATTATATTTCACTTATTATACTTCACTTATTATAAAATAATTTATAACCACATAAACGCAGAGGGCATACTCAGGTACTATTGTGATTCTGAGTTTATGACTGTTATTGTTGTTAGCGTTTTTGACATTCTAACTTAAACATACATTATGCAAGAGCTAAATCTGTCTATTGCAGGTCTTTCTTTAGGCCTGAAATGTTATCTAAATTATTAATTAGACATTAATTAACCTATCCAGACCATAATCAACTCTAGATGGCATCGCTAGCCTGCGATCTTTAGTGGATTATGAGCCGATTTACTGCATAACTTTTCTTTACGATTTAACAATTAAATGGATAATCGAGACTATGCTGTTTATCGTACTGACTTAAATAATGATGATCGAGGCTAGGCGGAAATTTCAATCGCTTAGTTCTCGGTTCATAGAGGATCAATTTGAATGAAATTTTCAGCAAATTGCTTTTACATTAGTGAGAACTGCCAACTCGTTATCGAATCTCCCATAATGTATCTTTAATGACATTATTTGTCAGACTAGCTAGAGACGTCATTTGGCATTGCTTCTTGTGATTGTTTTTTCTGATTTTTGTAAAAGGAATTATACCATAACTTTGTATATATAGGGTTGATGATTTTCCGTGGAAATCGCAGAATTCTGACTCAAATCAGAATTTGAAATCTCACACTGAAAAAGGCAGAAAAACTGATATTTGCTGATATTAAACAAAAACTCAAAACATATTTTGTATTTATCAAAATATTTTATCTTTTTATTTATAAAAATCAAAAATATTGAATGATATTGCATGGTTTTGGCTTCTTTCTTTTCATCATTTTAGAATCATAAATGTACTCATCACCCCTAGACCCTGTATATAATACACTATGCGCACGTATATATTGCCGTCGCCCCTGTCCGGACGTCTGTCCGTCCGTCCACAATTGTTTGTGGACACTCTACATGTCAAAATTCTTATCCGATTTTGACGATATTGGCATGTATCGGACCGAAACTTCATGGATTATGGCCCCTGATTGTACGAAAAATCACCTTTTTAGCTTGTGGACCCTAGAAAGGTCACAATTTTTATCCAATGTTATTGAAACCTGAAATGTAAGCTTAAAACATAAAGATCTGGATTCCTTTCGATATTTGCGCATATCGGATTGTAACTTCCTGAATTATGGCTCCTGATAGTACGAAAAATCGCGTTTTTAGCTTGTGGACCCTATAGAGGTCATAATTTTTATCTGATTTAAAAAAACGTTTTAGTAGTATATCACCGTTACACCCTAAGGATGACTGAGTTCGAATTTCGTGAAAATCGGCCCAAAACTGACAGACAAAATGGCCGTCTCTAATAGCGTAAAAATATGGTATATCAAGGTTGTGGACAATCTAGAGGTCACAATTTTCTTCCGATTTTGATGAAACTTGAAATGTAAATTCATAACCCAAAGATCTCAGTTCCTTTCGATATCCACGCATATCGGAATGTAATTTCCTGAATTATGGCCCCTGATTGTACGAAAAATTGCTTTTTGTTTAGCTTGTTCTCTATCCATCTCGTGCAAAATGTGGGCGTATCCTGCCTGGCAGCCGCTTGTTTTTTGTGGAGTCTCTCTCTTGTTATGAGTTTGGTTTCCATTTTGAATGAAGCCTATATTACAAGCAGCCTGGGACTGTACAGCCTTCACATCCATTGCCTTGATTTTATATTACTTTTGGTTTTTATTAAGGATTGCACTGTCTGTATATTGTCTGGTTGTTTGTGTGTTGTGCAGTTCTCTTGCACTTATAATACCAGTAATGTTAAATTCGAGCTCCACAGGAGATTCTCAGATGAATGTGTAGAATGTTAAAGCCTGAAAGGTACATGTTCAATAAATTTCATTATTTGAAGATATAGCTTCATTTGCTACGTTATCAAAATTGTAAAGGAAATTTTTTATTTATTTTTTTTTTTTTTTTTTAATTAATGTGCAGCTCAAAAGATATCTCCAGACACAAAAGAAAAGGTCCAGTTACAGTTGGTGTTTAATGATGGTGGTGCCAATACTTTTCATTTCAACAATCCAGAAGGTCGACCAGCTATGATAACAGATCGTGACAGTGTTAAAGAAATCCTTCAACAACTTTTACCCAAGTTTAAACGTAAAATCAGCAGTGAGTTGGAAGAGAAAAATAGGCAAGTAAAACAAAGATATAATTCTTTAATATTTGAGATCTCCTGATAATAGGCCACAGAATTTGTTTATTAAAGACTTTGTCCATTACAAAGAGATTCAGGAGACTATGTGGATATTTCACAAATTCATGGTTTTCCATCTATTTTTTTTTTAAGACATAGGTATTATATATTTTTTCTACACATTTTCTTTTATAATAATGTGCTGTACCCATTTTTTTATTTAAAGAATATTACAAGATAATCCTGAAATATTTCAACTGTACAAAGATTTAGTTGTTAGTCAAGTGATATCAGCAGAAGAATTCTGGTCGACAATCTCAAATGTAAGTGTTAGGAGAAATTTTGATGCTTGCTCATTAACTTAATCACATGACAGTATTAGGCAAATATTTTAGATATTGATTCTGTATTACTAATATGTTTACAACTTTTAAAGTCTCTGAACATCATTTGAGATATTGAGGAATCCCTTTCCATATTGGGGGGGTTGGATGGCTGAATGGTTAGCGTGCGCGCGCTGTATCATAAAGTCTGTCATTGAGTCGACTGGCGTGGTTTCGAATCCCCGGTTGTACGTGACAAGGAGTAGGGTCGCCTGTCCAACCTCGTGGGTTTTCTCTGGGTCCTCCGGTTTCCTCCCACTGCTAAAGACCCCTACGCGCAAGCGAATTATGTAAATAAAATTAAACCATATGTTAGTCCCGAAATGACCTAGTTTGTGTCGAGTGGACGTTAAACCCCATTTCTCTCTCTCTCTCTCTCCTTTCCATATTGTGACAGTTTAATCTCTAAAAGGAATATCAGTCCAAAAATGGTTCAGTTCAGTCAACATTCATCATCTATTGAGAAGACATAAAGGTGATATGGTCAAAAGCCAGTACCACCTGTAATCTTAACACAAGGTACAATTTTATGGAAACACAATTACTGAGTTTAATACTAAGCGACATTTCAACGAGGATACTCTTGTCTTTATCAAGCAAATGATACGGGTATGTGAATAGTAGGCAAATATATACAGAGTATGCAACAAAATAACAATCAAATACAATTAAAACTTAACACCTTTGATTAAACGTACACTGTGGAAACTCTTGTAGGGTGGGGGGCGGTATTATTATAGCAATCAATATATTAACACCATTAATGGGAAACCAATTAACCTGAGCTATAGATAAACAATACTTAAAAGAGAAGTGTGTATGTATGCGGGTATGAGTGAACCAGAGTGATAGTTAATGCAAGGGAAAATACAAATTATTAATTCAATAAACAGAAAATCATGAAAGATAAATGTATTATTAGATTATGAAACTAACCTCGTCCAGGTTTTACAGTTTTATAATAGGTTTTATCCTTCATGACTCCCAGCTTGTTAAATTAATACATTTATGGTTTCCCTTGCATCAGCGATCACTCTTGCCCAGGAGCCTATGACGAACTTATACACTGATTCACATGCCTTTGTTCTATTTCAGTGCTTATCCTATTTTTTTTTTCTCACAGTCTAATTATACATTACACATATCTTAGTTTTCAGTATTTTTCCAGTTTTTTTACAGCCTAATGATATATTTCACATTTCTTGATTTTCAGTTTATTGAAATAATATAGTCTATTATTAATAGGTTTTATCCTTCATGATTTACAGTTTAATGAATTAGATATCAAAATATGAATCCCTGATAGAATGATAGAAATTTCAATTTTATTTGTAAAAAATGCTTGCGTTCACTTTGGTGCATTTTGGCCGCGATGTAATGACACATTGGTTGTTCTCATTTTTCCAACCTATGGTGATAATAGACTTTGAAACAATAATATTATCCAATTATGCATGTTTGCATGCCATATGAAGCGACAGTAAATGGGATTCGGCTATCAGTAATTATCTTTGGTTAACACTTGACGGCAGTCTAGACACAATCAGAATTTTAAGGATTTTTTCTGCCACTTCTCAGAGAGAGTAGCATGTACCCCCAAAAATTTTCACCAAAATCAAATTTCTATTGTCAGCTTGAGCCTGGAGACAGTCAGGATACCATAATAGAATTAACCTGTTTTTTTCTGAATATTATTTTTTTGTTCCCAGAGATTATCAAATAACAGTAAAGCAGAAGCTAAACAAACCGTAGGAGTTTCACCAGCATTTTTGGTAAGGATTTGTTTAATTTTAAACACTTATTAATAAGGCTGGGAATCGATATGAAATTTCAATATCGATTATCGGCAAGAATTTGTCAGCGATTATCGATAATAATCGATTATTATTTTTCCGGAAAAATCCGAACTTTACCGACCTGTTATTTGTGTTGATCGAGTTATACAGTACGGCCGTCACGACGGTTTGACGGGACACGATATTACCGTGTTTTTTATCGTGGAATTCCGTGATTTACCGAGTGAACACCGAGCGAATATCGAGTGACACGATAGCACTGCCTCGGTGTTGGAAACACGGTGTGACTTGGTGTTTTAATTAAACCATGCCTCTGATCGTTTATTTTAGGATGAAGTACATGTAGAGCTATACATTGTTATTATAGATCACTTAATGTGTTGGTAGCTACGTGTGAAGATTGGCGTACGCGTTTCTTTGATCTGTTATATCATGGACCGTATATAGGGTTATATCACAGGGTAATTCTGTTATTTAAACCCGGGTATTGTCATCTTTTAAACAGAAATATGCTTATACCGATACATTATTACTTCATTAATATGTTCGACATTTGTAAGACTTGCATCGATGGACCATTACAAATTCAATCAAATTACTGAAAAATTATAACATGACACCAATATATGCTAGTCTTACCGGGGGCGTAGATTTATCCATCTAAATAGTAATTCACATACTGATAAATAATTCTGGTTTAAATCACAAATAAATTAAAAGCCTTTGTCTCCTAATATGTAATCACACAAAGTCAGAATTCACCGTCAACAAGTTTATGGAACTTTGCTGAATACGTGTACATTGACACGTATCAGTCCGATAATACCTTGCTGACGTTTTCATTTCGGCACCATAGAGTCTGGTGGATGCATACTGTCAATCAAGGTTCCACAATGAGACGTGACATGAAAGGAAATCGACTGACAGAACATAGACGCCCCTTTAACAATAAACTATTACCTTGTTGTAGTCTTGTGCTCGTGGACAATATGACTTTTATTGTTAATTGTCAGTAGTAATAATTACATATTTTCAAAAGAGATGTCAATTTCTTTTTGATTATACATGTAGCTTCAGTCCATTCAATTACCTGTATTTATTACTCAAATGGTTTCTTAATTAGCAGAATGTGAAAATAAAGAAAACAAGGTTACACTTAAAATATGACTACGGTAACCAAGAAGTTATTCGTCGCGATTTCACGGGGTTGTTAGTATTCGACCGGCCCCCCACCCAATCCGCTACATGTAATACCAATTTGTAACGAGTAATTGTGATTACTCTGTTACGGTAAAACTCGTATTTTTTTTTTAAATCGGTACAGGCTTAAGGTTCACGCATGCAGAGCGGCTTATGAACAAAATGATGTTTAGTCATTTGCAGTTCACATATTCTGCCTTACACCGGTGGAAATCATTTCATTATATTGTGCACAAACGTCATTCCTTAAATAGCCCCACGCCCCTTTAACAACTGAATTTTCTGTTAGACCATTTATTCTACACTCTTTGATGTGCTTTCTAGATTAATTAATTTCATAACTATTGAAGAGGACCAGTTGGTTGTTTATATTGTTTTATTTACCTAACGATCAACGATAAGTTCACCAATGTTTTTGTAATAAAGTAGACCCGTATTGTTTGCTGATTGACTTTATCCCATGATTTAAAAAATTGGCGATGGTTAATATTGGGTCAACAATAATTCCTTAAATTGTGCCGGAGCCCCTTTTACATAAACGGAATTCGCATTTTATAAGACGGCGATTATTTGTACATGTATGTCGGGCCAAAAGGTCATTTCTTAAATTGTAGATGTTAAATATCCTTAATAATAATAATTATCACAGGCAAATATAAAAATAATACCAATCCAAATTAATATCCTTTTGCATATAAACTTGCATATATAATCAACTTGGAATACCAAAATTTAAATCGTAACGCATTGTGGTCTAAACGGTATCATAAATTATAAAATAAACCATAAATCAATGGACCTGTTGTAAGGTGAACACTGCATGGTTTCTGGCAATTTTGGGTCTTTGCGGCATAATGTAGTCTTAACCAAAAAAAACAACAAAGTGGCTACGTGCGATTTTATTCTTTGATCGTGGATCCAAGGGACATTTCTGTTATTTAAACCAATCTGCACGAGAATGACAACATACAAGTTGATAGTTATCATTGATTTGGGGTTCATGTGGAATAGATTCTTCCATCGAAATACAGTTATTCTTTTCTAAAATAAAACGAGTGCCTTGGATATTTGCGTGGATTTGATAGCGGTTATAATTAACTAATATTCTCTTACATCGGAGACTTGTGTCGCGTTCATTTCATTTTTACGATAAGTACGAACTTATGTCTGATTTGAAAGCGCTTTCGAACCCCGTTGCAAGTTCTATTTGTCTTATTTCTATTTGTAAGACCGGTAACCCAAATACCGTTATAGTTTGCAATTTAAAAGTCTATCTTTGCCGTGATTCGAGAGTAGTTCTTAACTATAAACTCATAATATAGTAAATATGCAAAACAATTTGAACACGGCATAAATATCTAAACTGTGTAATACATGTATAGTCTTATGCATACATGTCCTTCAAAGTGTACTAGACATGCAGCTTTACATGACTGGTTGGAAATGTAACCGCATATATCGTGCAGAATATACAACAGAATATGCGTCCGTATTATTAACGTAAATATTCAACATTCATAACATCGTGGCTGTATATCGTTTTGACATCGATTGTTTATGACAAATAAATACCGTTAATTTTGCATGTAAAATTACACCGAGGCCTATCGTGTCGCACGACTATCGTGGCACACGATAGCGACTGCTACACCGAGTTATTTATCGTGGCAATATCGTGGCGTTATCGTGGCAATTTTCAACAAAAAACGACACGATAATTGTGTTTCATAAAGCGTCGCGGCGGGCGTACTGTAGTAGTGTTATTATCCTAGTCTAATACTGTGCCGATGTGCCGATGTATGTAAAAAAAATCAATTGATGTAAAATAATTACGTGTAGTTGCTAAATGTAGGACTAACTTGAGTATTATTCTAAGTTTTGTTCTTGATTCATTTGAACCTTTTTTTATTTCAATATCTCCGATAAATACAAAGACAATACATGGTTTCTCTTTGCAAGTGACTGGCGATCACACAGTGTTACTACTAATAGAATAAAATAGAAGGCGTCTATTGATTGGACAATAAAAAAATAATTACGGGCTTTCAAAGTAGAATTTTTATGATTGGTTAATTTAGATGAAAACCAAAGTAGAATTCTTCCACGAAATTACGAGAGATATAGATATTTTCCCTGGAATTCAAAAACGTGTTTTGTATGGGCTGTACATATCTGACATGATTTAGTAATAAAAGCGGAGTTGATCATTAATAATACAATTAGTTTTATCGTGAAAGCAGACGATTTCTCTACAAATCAATCAAGAACAAAGAAGGGAGATAATTCTAATTTTACAATATATCACGTGCGATTGTCATTGTTCACAAAGTGCTTGACCTATTTTAGTTTCAACTAGTAATAACAACAAAAACAACGAAAATATTAAAATAATGTATTTAATCTTAAAGTTTAGTTTTTTACAATAATATATATTTAAAATGTGCCAGTTTGTAAGCAGAAGGGGGAAATAGTTGTTGTGTTGACGTTGTGTATTCATTCATTCGTCTGCTAATGCCAGACTACGGCAAGTTCAGTCATGTGAAAGTGACCGTAACTTGCCGTCAGAAGGTAAATATACCGATAATCGATATTTGAATTTCAATATCGATTATCGTATCGCTAAATAACTTCTACAGATTATCGATTATATCAATATTTTTGCACAACCTTACTTATTAAAGTGATATACATATTTCCTGTATGAGTGCATAGATTTTGGAGTATCACTGCTCATAAGGTTTTACTGTCCTTAGACTTTCAATGAATAATCAGAATGTTATCTTCAATTTCATTGATTCTCATTTGTTGAAAAGTGTGGTTGAATAGCAACAATAAAACCCTTTTGTTTAAGCACTTTCAGCGAATGAAATTCAAAAATATATGAAGGCGTGTCAATAAAACCCCTTTGTTTTAGTGGTTTCAGCAAATCATATCATGCATTATATGAAGGCGTGTCAATGTTCAGGTTGCAACAGTCTTGTTGTAAGAAACTAATTGAAAACTCACTATTGTAAATTTGTTGTATTCATAAACTTCATCATTATTTTATAAAATAAACCAGTTTAAAATCCAGTTTACTAATATACATGTACATTTTTTATGGCAGGCTGACATCAAGCCCCAGACAGATGGTTGTAATGGTTTAAAATATAATCTCACTGCTGATATAATAGAATCTATTTTTAAAACATATCCTATGGGTAAGTATTTGGCTTCAAGTATATAACTTCCAGCAACTTCATTAATATTTACACAGAATTACTCTCTCTCTCTGAAATGAATCAAGAAAAATTGACTTACCTTTGATTGAAAGATATAATATTATGTCAGTTTTGATATACAGATTCATTTTTGTTCATCATCGAGATTGATCATGTCTAAAACAGCAAAATGTTTTGTTAGTTTAATAGGCATCAAGTGGTGATCGATTGTTAACAAAAAGGCGTCTTTTATCTTTTGTTGACAAAAAGCACAGTCCACATATTATTTCAGACTTACTGATAATTTACCATATTGGAGGCAAAAGAATTCCTTAAAGATACATTGTTCCGAAAGTATTTTTCGGGTGGTTATTTCCAATAATAGTATGGCAAATTTGGTATACATGTATATAGAAAGTATAGAGACACCCAATCTTACTAGAAAAATACTGGATTATCTGAAAAACACCCATGGGGCAAGCACTGGGCAAAAATATCAGGGTATTAATAACTGGCAACCTGACTGTTGTCTGCAAGCTTATTGTGTGCTAGCTTGACTGAGGGGCCGTTTTTTTTTTTATTTCTTCATCAAATGGTTAGGCAGTGTTGGGAACATTGAGGGGTGTCAACATACGAAAGACTGTGCAATTAAACGACGGAAAAAGAAGTTGACAGAAAATTTACTTAGGCCTCAATATGTATGGTAAATGGACAGTAAGTAATGAAAAATACATTCTGATAAATGGATGCCTCTAACATCAGTTTATTTATAGCTTGAGGAATCTCCCTGCGTATACAAAGGTTTGAGAGGGATTTGGAGCAAATTTTTGACAGATTAATTAGTTTGAATAAGTTTTTAGTCTAGCTCAGTTAAATCTACCTCAAGCCAGGTTCTCATAAAATATACAAACTACAGCATGGCTGAGAAACATTACTTCACATGTATGGGAAATTAAGATACTTTTCTACAGATAAGCAGAAAATAGCTATTTGGTAAAACACTGGCCCAATCTAGTTCAGATAGATTGAATCTGTTGCAATGCTTATTTCGCTTTGGAAATTTGAATTCTTTTCTTAAAGTTTGTGTAAAAAGGTAAAAGTATTTATGAAAAAGTGATGTCTTAATTATTATCATTTGTTGATTAATTGTTTTAGTTAAAAAGAAACATGCCGAGTCTGTACCCCATCAACTATCAGAGAGTGAATTTTGGACACGGTTTTTCCAGTCACATTATTTTCACAGAGATAGAAGTAACCTGAGCAGTAAAGATTTATTCTCTGATTGTGCTAAAAATGATGAAGACGGTAATTATGTACAATATATAGGAATGGATTAATTTATTGCACTTGAACTGTGATAGATTCAATTCAAATTTTTTAAGCCCTTGGGGTTTATTATACTGCTGTTGTTGGGACTCACTTATAGTCTCCTATATATTTGACAGAAGATCATGTTGATCTCGCCTTATACTGGAACCCACTTTGGGTGGGGGGGCTTATTAAAAAAAAAAAAATGGTAAAAGCATGTCTAAGAATTGCATCTTGCTATGGTAACCAGTAACCTTTGTGAAGTATGTATTTATCAGCAGTTCATTCTAATACACTAAACCTCGCATAAGTCGGATTCGTATAAGTCAGATCTTTGCTCAACTCGGATCAAAATTTTTGGTTCATTTGATCTAATTCCAGCTTTTATTCTTTGTCTAAGTCGGATCGGCATTATGTTCAGAATTTAACTGTCTGTTTCGTCCCGATGGTCTAAAACGCGATTAGGTATTTCATGCACAGGGCCTCAAAATACTTTCCTCTATCATTTTGACTCAAATCAGCCTATTTGACGCGACACAGTAATAGAATTTTCCCGGAAAATTCGAAACTCGCTGTCTGCTGTACGAGACACTTTCCGGGAAAATTTAGGACATTTTTCAAAGATGGCGACATAACGGAAGTTATCTACTCGCACTAAAATGGAAGTTATCTACTCGCACATTCGAACAAAAGCTAGAAATGTGCCTTTGAATCAATTATTATACGGCTCTTGCAGTTTATTTCTAATCGAGCTGAGAATGAATTTCGGTCTTCGGTTAACACATATCTTCGCTTAACTCGGATAAAATTGGTCAGTCCACTTAGATCCGACTACTGTAGTAAGTGCAGGAGAACCGCACTACACACAAAGCACAACCAATAAGACAAACCTGCGGAGAAGACAAACTACGCAGACATGGAAGAAATAAACAACAAGTGAATGGATAAGGGATGTAATATTTGTTTACCGAGGGCCTAATGTTTAGAGAAGCTTAATTACATTGTATGCCTTTATTACGCTTTCAGCTTATTGTAAAATATGTTTATTAGTTTTGGATAAAAAATAAATATTTTACAGGCTTCTATTTTAGCATTGGCACAAATTGTAAAGGCCAAATCTGTTGATCTGATATGTTAGTTTGGTAGTACTGGAAAATGTTATTTTTATGCACCTGCCTATGGCATGATCTTCAGGTACTTCATTTGTTAACTACTTTAAGAAGAGTTCTCACTTGGCAGCCTTGGATAAAGGATATTATGTATATTGATATACATTGAAATGTTGATCACAAATTTTTCTGTTTCTAGAAATGAAAGTAGAAATGTCAAAAAAAGTATGCAATCCATTGATGGACTTGACTTTAATATCTGATAATTCTTTTGGAGAGGTAAGTGTCAAAGCTTTATGTGTCCACATTGAATGTGGATTTATATTGTCATCATCTCATCTGTTATCTGTTGCCTGTTGGTCCATTTATATTTCTTGTTAGTACTCAGTTTAAGTGAAAACCGTAGTTCACATAATATGGTAGCATTGTTCAGTTTATTGATGATTGTAGATGTTGGTATGGCTAGTGGTTCAGAAAGACCCTTTATGATTTTTCAGCAATTTCTTCTGAGAAACACCTAAAACCTAGCAAGAACTGCGATCAAATTGTATTCCTTTCCATATTCTACTAGAAATCCCCCGCCCCCTGACAAACAAAATCAAAGGAAAAGGCCCAAATATTGCAAAATCTGAACCATATCAGCATAAAATGACATAAAGAAGACATTTTCACTATAATCATTCTGGAGCACATCAAAGTGCATCATCTATTTTCAGGGGCATGCATCCCCGGGATCCTCATGGTTTTCCCACAAATGAAAATAAGGCCTGCTGGTGTAAACAATACTCATTTCATTTCATATTTTAAATACTTCACTTCAATAAAATCTAACATAATTCTATCACATTGGGAAAAATAACCTGAAAGTATTTCTGACTAATTAATAAGGTTGTTTTCAATTATATTTTGTGATTTTTAAGATAGGTAATGCTACATCTTGTTTTTTATGTTGTAGGAATATAGAGTTCTATCAGAAGATACAAAAAAATCATCAAATGCAATTAATTTATCAATGATTCGTCGATTCAACCATCATTCTACTATGGTGCTTAAAGCTTGTGAAAACAATTCTCAAACAAATTCATCTTGTGATAACAATGGTGATAGTAAAAGTGACAATTCCATACAGGGTAATGGTGTTGAAAGTGCTAATAGTAGTAACAATAATAATATAAATGGACACATATCTGATGTTATTGCGTCTACTAGTTCAAGTTCTGCAGAGGATCCCCCAAGAAAAAAGGTATAATTGTTTCTGAGCTGCTTTGTATTCAGTATTGTTTTTTCCTCTGTTTTTGTGGTAAATAAAGAGGACATATACCCTAACTTTGTAGTCAATACACCTCAAATCTTTCAAACACTTAAACTGTTTCTCACTATAACATAGACCATTTAGTTTTAGGCTACCTGGCTTTTTTAATACATTTCACCGATATGGTTACTTGTATATGTATAGGTAATTTTCTACTTCAATATGCTTACATTCATATTTCATGTGGCATATAGCAGATTATGACTTGTACTAGTATTACACAATGTTTTTTGGGTTATATTCCTCCTGATTGTTAGTTTTAATTTTTATATGCCCACATTTTCATGTGGACGTATATTGTTGTCGCCCCTGTCCTTCCGTCCACAATTGTTTTGGACGCTCTACAGGTCACAATTTTTGTCTGATTTCAACGAAACTTGAAATATAGGTTTATCACCCTAAGATCTCGGTTTCTTTCGATATTGGCATTTAGCTTGTGGACCCTATAGATGTCACAATTTTTATCTCATTTTGTTGAAATTTGAAATGTAAGTTTATAACCCAAAGATCTTGGTTCCTTTCGATATTCGCGCATATCGGACCGTAACTTCCTGAATTATGGCTCCTGATTGTACGAAAAATCACATGTTTTTTAGCTTGTGGATCCTATGGAGGTCACCACTTTATTCCGATTTAAAAAAACGTTTGAATATATCACCATTACACCTTAATGACAGTTGAGTTTGAATTTCGTGAAAATTGGACCAAAACTGCCAGACAAAATGGCCGCCCCTCGTATAACGCAAATGGTGTAAATATGTGGCATATCAAGGTTGTAGACCCTCTAGAGGCCACAATTTTATTCCGATTTTGATGCAGCTTTAAATTTATGCTTATATCACAAAGGTCTTGGTTCTTTTCCAGGTTCGTGCTTATAGCATCGTAACTTCCTGAATTATGGCCCTTGATCGTATGAAAAATTGCGTTTTAAGCTTGTGGTCCCTCTAGAGTTAACAATTTTTATCCAATTTAAAAAACAAAATGGCCGCCCCTCACATGAAATCCGTGTAAAAATATGGTATATCAAGGTTGTGGACCCTCTAGAGCTCACAATTGTGGTCCGATTTTGATAAAACTTGAAATACATGTTTATACCCCAAAGATCTTGTTTCCTTTTGATATTTGCGCATATTGGATCGTAACTTCCTGAATTATGGCCCTTGACTGTACGAAATTTGTGTTTTAGCTTGTGGTTCCTCTAGAGGTCACAATTATTATCCGATTAAAAAAAAAACGTGTGAATATATCACCGTTACACCGTAATAATGATTGAGTTCGAATTTTGTGAAAATCAGACCAAAACTGCCGGACAAAATGGCCGCCCCTCGAACGCAAACAGTGTAAAAATATGGTATTTTAAGGTTGTGGACTCTCTAGAGGTCACAATTTTGATCCGATTTTAATGAAACTTGAAATGCATGTTTATAACCCAAAGATCTTGCACATATCTAATCCTACCTTCCAGAATTATGGCCCTTGATGTTAAGAAAAATCGCTTTTTGTTTGGCTTGTTCTCCTTCTCTTGAAAAACTTGGGCCTATCACAGGCGTGGGACTGTACAGTGCAGTGGACGCTTATGGCTAGCCCCCCGGATCCATTCACTTAATCTGATATGTACATGTACGTTTGTTTCTTCTTTCTGCATATTGTGTCTTGTCCATAGATTTGTTTTGTGTAGGAGGTCGGGTGTTTTCGATCCCTGCATTGGCTGAGAAAGTTCATCCCGATTTCCCGGCGTGGTTCCCCTTGCCAGTGATGCAGGACGGAGGGCCTGACAAGAACAGCTGTCTAGTCGAGGTCCCGTGTAAACATTGGCATGCACGTAAAAGATCCCTTGACAGTTGGAATTCGATATAAGACTAGGCCATAGTGCTGCTGTCCGGCAAAATTTCCCTCATAGTACATTGTATGCCCGTCTTCATTAGCAGAACAGTAGGACGTTAAACCCCATTTCATTTCATTTCCCTTGTTTTGTGTAATTGCGTGTGGTGCAGTCCCCCTGCACTTACTATTAGGATAGTCATTCTTTATAATATATTCAAATGTAATTGAAGATTTTCCATTTAACAGAGATTTTTAGAGATTGTTTTATGTTAATTTTTCTTTTGCTTTGTATTGTGTTTAATAGTATAAGTATCTTTCAAAAAGAAATAGTATGATAAATTTTTATGGGCGCTGATTTAAATTTCAAAAGAAATAAAGTAGCAATAATAAATTCTCCTTATGTTCAAACATGCTACAGTTTTTCAATATGATAGGTCAAATAAATGTTGCCATTTAAAATTTTCCTCTAATAAGTTAATCCTGATGAGCAGATTGCTAACTGGTCTGCTTTGGATTTGCTTCGATGGACGAGCGTACAAGTGGAAGCTACACAAGAGCTTGTTGTGATATTAAGAATCATTTTAACTATCAATGTTTCATCTGCCCGTTGCGACAAAGTTCCACTCAAAATGTATCCACAATCTACAATGAGCCAAGAAAGACTGAATAACCTAGGAATACTGTTAGTTGAGAGGGATTTCAATATAGATTTGAATACTGTTATTGTAAAATATTAACATATTAGAATCAGTCCCTTTAAAAATTATTTGAATATACTAGCATTACATGCATTTTACAGTTGCTTGTGGGTGTGGATGGGTAGAGTGGGTGCTGCTAGTGGTCCACAGTTTAGTGAGCACAATACTTGCCTTGCCCTAGGTGCTGGCTACTTATGCCACACAACTGGCTGTGCATGACTAACCCAGATGTCCCAGGTTCGATCTCGGCGCTGGTTGGAAGTTCTTCGAGATTTGTTTGAAGGAAGTCGTTGGCATGCTTATAAATGAACCCTTGACAGATGGAATCCGATGAGTGTAGACAGAAACTTTGCTGTCTGGGCAAATTTTTCCTCATAGCATACTGCATGACATGTGACTATCTTCATTAGTCATCTACATAAACCCTAACAAAGGCAGATAGTTGGATTCCATGCAGAATTGCAATTAAACAAGTAGTATGGTATCAATGATATACTTTGCCAAGTAGATCAATTAATCCATCTTTAAACATATTGATAGATAGAATTATGATATAGAATTAAATTTTATAAGAATCAATTGATCTAGATCATTTACATATATCTTAAAGAGTCAAAATATGTACTATTTAATGGAAAGACCAGGTGTTCTTCATGAATAGTGGACTGGCTTGTACCAAACGAATAGTTATTACTTATTTATCCAAGATGTATAAAATTAGTGGTGTGACAATCAATAGAAACCAATGTAACCTTAAATTTGTTTGATAACTTAATCTTTAGAAGTTAAAATGGTCTTAAACTCGATAGTTAATCTTATCTTGAAATATTGGGATTGAAGGTGACCGATATTTAATTTTTGGTGTAATTTGCATATTTTTAGGATGTACTTTTATTTGCAGACAACAGCTCAAATTTATTTAAATTCTAATTTTATATCCACAGAAAAAAATCCAGGAAAAATTAGAATTGGTAGATTTACATAATGAATCTAAGTCTGATTCAGTGAATTTAAGATTGGAAAAAATGGAGCGGTATCTTCATGGTCCAACTCCTATTACAGCAGTGAAATATACAACAAGCAGAGCTGTACTAGAGGCGTCAGAGTCTGTACATAATGATGTAGAACAGTGGTCAACAGATCTGTCCAATGTAGATATATTATAATTTAGTTTACATCTGGAACTGTAAACCTTGATGGTGAAATGAAATAGACTTAAATCATATTTTAACAATCGTCGAAAAAACAGATTTGCACTTCACAGAAAAGTCATATATTTCATTTAGATTATTCTGTTTGTTTGTACATGATAAGCTGATGCTGATAATTTCAGTGTTTATTTTTGATTGTTTCATTTTTTGCAAAATTTAATATTTTCTGACTTTCAGATATTATCAGGGAGTAGTGCTGTTAGTGTTTTAGGAGAATTGTCACCAGGTGGGGTACTTATGCAAGGTACCAGTCATCAACAATTACATCGTAAGATCAATGATTTAATTATTTAGTTACTAGCCACTTACTTTCAAAGACTTGTTAAGATTATTGCTATCATTTGTTATGAGGGCTGGCTGAAAGGTTCTAAGTCTGAAAAGAATAGATAGAAGAATTGGGTTGAAACAGACTTTTGCCACCACCAAAAGGCAACAACAATCATTGAATGAATCATAGACATAAGAACTGCAACTGTTGTGTTATTATTGTCTTTGTACCAGACCTTGTGAACCTGGCTATAGGGCAATCATCAAGTACCTGCAACTAACCCCCAACGGCCAATACAGATACATGCCAACAAGGTCTCCACTTTAGAGAATGATGCCTCTTTCTTTTCCGCAGTAAAGAAGTGGGCTGCAAAATTTAAGCATGGCAGAGAGAGACTATCAATGGAAGATATTATGCTGGCCCACTGAGACAGTTGCATGAAGCTATCAAAGCTAAGCGACGAAAATGAAATGAAATGTGGTTTTAACGTCATCGTGTTCTGCGCTAAGCGACGAGGAATGCTGACTAAAGGCATCCTGTTCCACCAAGACAATGCTCCAGTTTATAAACGATGATTGCCATGTCAGCAATCCATGATTGTGGCTTTGAACTCATTGACCATCCACCTCCCTCACCCGATTTGGCCTTGTATCATCGTTGGCAAAAGTGTGTACACCTCATAGGGGACTGTGTAGAAAAATAAATGGAAACCATCGACTTTGTACAGGTCTTTCACAGATAGGCTTAGAACTTCTTAGCTAGCCCTCGTATTTACTTGTAAATGGACCACTTACTTTTCATTTTTAAGTCACTTACTTTTCCCACAGCTAATAGCTAGCTATATAATTGATTTTTTCTTTGACACTTGTAAGGCAAAATGTAAATTTCAACATTGGCCCTTTCATCTAAGAGCTTCATTTGTGATTTCAGCTAGTGGAAAAGCTCTTCAGATATTGCAAAATTTTGAAAAATATATTGCTGTTGTGTTTAACTCTTGCTGTTTCTATTTTAGAAATGATACCTAAAGAAATTCAACAAGAGATACAACAACAGTATTCTGCCTTATGTGAACTTTTGCGTCATTTTTGGAACTGCTTTCCTGTTTCCTCAAAATTTTTAGAAGAAAAGGTATGTTTCATGTTATCAAACAGTTATATTGGTACTCATCTAATGATCTATACATATTAGTGTCAACTAAACGGGGATCACGGTGGCAGCTAAGGGGGCAAAACGCTGGCTCGCTAGCCTGGAGGTTGGGTGTTCGATCACTGCATTGGCCGAGAAAAGTTCATCCAGATTTTCCGGTGTGGTTCTCCCTTGTTACTGTTGCTTCAGATTGATCATTTCTTCATTACAATTAGTAGAATTGACAGTAGGGTAGGGTTATGTAAAAGGGGAATCATGGTGGCTAAGTGGGCAAAACGCTGGTTCACTAGCCTGGAGGTCGGGTGTTCGATCCCTGCATTGGCCGAGAAAAGTTCATCCAGATTTTCCGGTATGGTTCCCCCTTATCAGTGATGCAGGAAAGAGGGCCTGGCAAGGACAGTCTAGTCGTTCGGATGGGACAAAAAACTGAGGTCCTGTGTAGACATTGGCGTGCACGTAAAAGATTCCTTGACAGTTGGAATTCGATACAAGAGTAGGCCATAGTGCCGCTGTCCGGACGTTAAACCCCATTTCATTTCATTTCATTTGTATTTACAGCCCACTGGGTATTATTTGGAACATCCTTGTCTCTTAGTTAGATAGTGATGGTCTTATTTGGTTGATATTATTTTCTCAAATGATGTCACTATCAGATACGTGTGTTTGCTTCGATGTTTGTGGTGCACAGGCAATTTTATACTGTCAATTGTTTTGATATCACCCATTAGGTGAGCTGAAAAATTACATGTACTGCTCAAGATGGTATCTAACCTAGGGTTTTTGATTTAAATCTCTACTGCATTGGTGCTTTAATTTTTATAATACTGCATTTCATTTCAGGTGGTGAAAATGAGAGCAACCTTAGAAAGATTTCAACTCGCTAAATTAAATCCATTAAAAGATAAACTCAACGAACATCATTATAATATAAATGTAAGTTATGTGTATGAAAATAAATATTGACTGTGATACTGTAGTAACTGCATTAAGGAACTGTGGTAATGACTAACATCGTGGGCTGAGAAGAACTATCGGAAATACAAGTATCAGTCGAAATTTATCCCATTCCATCCTTTAAAATCAGCTACTTGTACCTGTGCAAGGTTAATTTTTTTTTTTAAACAATATTTTATTTAATAAACACAAAAACATTATATTTAAAGTGATATTTGAGGGTTCTCTCAAAGTTATCAAGCAAATGATGATGAATATAAGATACAAAACTCTTGCCTTTAGTCTTATTCATTAAAGACTCCACCGAATTCTGTCAGGAACTATATCGCCAAGACAACCCCAAGGTAGTGGTATCATACGATGTAGATTTATTCACTACTATTTTTCATGATTTAGCTTAGTATTAGTAGAAGAACTTAAGATTGGACAACCTACCTGAACCACTCGACAGCACACTCACCAACAACGACCTAATAGACCTTACCAAATCATGCATTCAAGCAACCTACTTCACCTGGGGGGGATGATTTTTATCAACAAATCCAGTACAGTTGATGACAGAATAGATGAACTAACCACCTTATTACAGCATCTTAACCAACAGAAACAGAAATTAGTGACACCCTTCCATTCCTCCTTGATGTAAGTGGGTAAGACGTTGGCTCGCTGCATTGGCCGAGAAAGTTCATCCAGATTTTCCGGTGTGATTCCCCCTTGTCAGTGATGCAGGACGAAGGACCTGACAAGGACAGCTGTCTAACCATTCAGATGGAACGAAAAACCAATGTCCAGTGTACACATTGGCATGCAAGTAAAAGATCCCTTGGCAGTTGGAATTCAGTGTAAGAGTAGGCAGTAGCGCCGCTGTCCGGGCAAAATTTCCCTCATAGCACACTGTATGGCATAAGCCTGTCTTCTCATTAGCCCAGTTCGGAGCAGAACAGTAGGACGTAAAACTCCATTTCATTTCATTTCATTTTGATGTAAAAGTAGAGAGGGAAAATGGCACCCTGAAAACCAGTGTATGTATACAGAAAACCAACTCACACAGACAAGTATGTACACTTCAAATCTAACCCACCAGTCAGTATTACAAGAACAACTTAATCATCCTTGGTGAAACGAACAAAAAGACTTTCAACGCCTGAGAAACTAGAAGAGATGACCCACCTAAGAGAAGTTTTTACCACCTTCCATGACTATCCACCCAACTAAGTTAGTAGAACACCGAACGTAAAGCATAAACCAAAACAATCGACCCCGAAACACCAACCCAAATCATCTACCGACAAATTCCAAAACACAAGATCAAGATAGTAAGAAAAGAAAAAGAAATTATTAATCCACCATCATGACAAAATGGAAAGGAAAATATGGGAAGCCATCAGCATAAAAAAAATGCTACAAACCCGCATTAAATAGAGATGAAGGCATCTATCTACCAAGTGCTTATGTGTTATGACTCTATAATCTCAGAAAAAGTAATATATATCATATTACGTGTCAGATATACATATGTGCTCATAAGTTTACTTTTAATGATTGCTAAATATTTACATAAACTGAATAATAGGACATTAATTGACATGACAACTTTATTAATAAACTGTTAATCACAATAGTAGCCTAGTATCCCTTCTGTGTATTTGTGCTTATAAATTAATTAAAACTGTGACATTACTGAATATAGTTTCCTTATCTTTATTAACTCTGGTCTATAAATTCACTGAATCTGATTATGTGGTTTCCTTTTGAATAATTTACTATTAGATGTAATTTATTTTGCATATGTTTTTATAAATTCCCTTTATTCAAATGGTTTCCCCAAGTGATTATTGGCTAATTAATTGTTACTTGTTTTTTGTATATAATCTGTATATTATATTCATCATTATTTGCTTGAAAACTTTGAGAGAACCCTCAATGAAATGCCGCTTTTTGTGACAATTGCTAAATGCCGCTTAAACAAAATGTTTTATTCACAGAAAAGGATTGAGGAACGGGCTAGGACTATATTACCCATTTCCCAGAATAAAGATAAAGCTGTGATCTATTTCCCAGAATAAAGATAATAAAGCTGTGATCTTTCAATTTCTGAAGTATAAAGCCGGCTATTTCTTTAATGCTTTCAGTTAATGGGTCATCTAGAAGATATGTTAATGGCTGCTTATTCTAAATTTGAAACGTGGCAGTTGAAAAAGAAATCAAAGAGATGACATAAACTTTATAAAAATTACTGTGAAGAAATACGCCAAATTTGTGATGGAGAATGTGTGCTAGCTATGTGAACACCACTCCCCAAAACTAGTACTTATGTTTCAAATTTGAAAGTGGACTGGTGAGTTATTGAATTGAATAAAATAAAGTCAAATGAGATATTAAAATGGTCTAAAATGTTTTAGTTGCTTTGTGATTCACCACACTTCAAGGGCTGTTTCTTGAAACAAATGAAAAACAAGAGTACAAAAATATGATTCTGGTTCTCAGAAAATCCTTTCTAAAAGATCCTCTGTGAAACATGATATTTCAAGGCTCTGTTGGGGGAAATTTGTTGCTGCTGTAATTAATGAAACATTTTTTGAAATAAAACCATGTGACTGGCAGGTGTATGACTTAAATATATGGCTAATGTTAACAATTGGCTTACAAACCCCTAAAAACTTGCGGCTCCAAACACAAGGATTCAAACATAAGATTGTTTTGTTTTGTGTTTCTTGTTTTTTTGTGTTCCTGTTCCAAGCTGAAGATCACATAGCCAGCTCATTCACTCTTCAAAGAAAAGACAGCTTCAAAGAATAGATAGTGGTGGTGACTGCATATCTCTCCTTCCCAGCAGAAAATTACACTGAAATCCTGTGATTCTTGTCTTTCTTCTCCTGTAACCCATTAACATTAACATGAACATGAATGATGAAGTAAACAATATCTGTCTGAAAAAAGGGTAGTCCCATATTTCATGGACAACAGTGTGTCTGAAAATTCGAAATATTGAGTTCTTTAGAAAATGTTCACCCACAATGTTCAATGGCTATTATTTGGTTTTGTTAATGGGAGAGAGAGAGAAGCCTGGGAGGGGGCAATTTGTGGAATAATACCATTAATATGATTTATCTGTCAATTTTGATACCAAGCAAATGCAGAAACTTTGATAGGGTAGGTTATATTTCTTCCAAAGAGTATCCCAAGAATATCAATGTTTTAGATATTTCCTATAACCAAGGAAGAAGATCACCAATAATGCTATGCATTAAGTCGGGTGTGGGGGGTCGCCCAGACAGGGGCGCTACGGCCTCGATTTCCCTGCTGGGGATCTTTCACGTGCTATAATATGCTAATTCCATGAAATTGATGAATATAGAATCACATAGTCGCAGCTCAGAACTATCTACTTCGATTAAATTGTTTAAGTGGCATTTAGTATCTGGATGAGAATAACACATGGCACAATTAATGAATTATATGGCATACAACTTATAAGTTACTTTCTTTCGGGAGAACCCTCGTCGAAACGTCGCTGAAATAATTATAAAATAAACCACACTTCGACTTTCGAGAAACGACGAACGATCTGTCACACACACGCACAGATTAAATAAACCTCATCAATCAATTTTATTAAATGTAAGACAGTAAGTATACTTCTCAAAATTCTCCAAGTTTAAGTGTTTTCGACAAAAATCATCGTTTTAGTTTTATCTTACAACTGCGGGAGATTATGCGCCGTGCAGATTTATAAATTGAAATACGAAGAATGGATTATTGATTTGATGTTTATTCCGCCATTCCATCCTCACAACGAGGCTCTCAGTATTCGATCATCCAGAGAAAACAATGTTGTGATTATCAAATAGAAGATATATATAACATTAGGAATTAAAATGTTGGTCAACCACCTCAGTGTCTGTTCTCAACAGCGTCTGTTCTCACGCGGAGCTATATGTATAGGTAATTGTAGACAGACAGCGTAAGCTTGGCATAATAATTATCTGTGTCTATTTCCCTATTTGCTTGGACAAGAAACCTAATCATGACCTAATTCATGACGTACATGTACCAAAATGACGCAAAACAATTCAACAACACTGTTATTATAGTTTTATTATAGACTTCAACAGCTAGCACGATCAAGACTATGACAAGACTACTCATATAAAATCGTATTGAAAAAATAAACCTGTGCCCTATAAAGTCGACTTTAAAAAAAAAAAAAAAAAAAAAAAAAAATATAGACAATGAAGCTGTGAAAGCTGCATGTACATGTATTTTATTTCTCAATCCATTATTACGTATACAATTCACTTAACCTTTATTGTCTATTCTGTCTAAAACAATTCTATGTAATAATTAGCTAATGTACTCGAATAATATAGAAAATCTTTGTGAGGAGCGCTTTTAAAATCATAACCTAGGTTGGCTAAATTAATCCATCTCTAACTCCCGCCTTCACTGCTTTGAAAGTCGGTATAACACAATATTTAAGGTTAATTATAAAAGTTTTAGACGATAGGTATTATCTTTTTCCATTGGCACGTCTTTGTTCTTAATTTTTGGAGGGGTGGGATATATCTTCAGTACCACAAGAATGTCTCAATGAGGATACTCTTACCGTTATCAAGCAATGATACAATCAAACATGTTACAGAAGGTTATATACAAGTGGATAACAATAAACTAATTAAGAGTTTAAATCAGAAGCCATTAAAGTTAAACCTAATACCTATGAAACTATTATTAATCAATAAGAAACCCTTAATAAGGGAGGGAAATACACAATTATACTAAAACAACAGTTGTTACTAATAATCCCTTAATCTTCATTATGAGTATTAAAGCAGTATTATAATATTTATTATTAAAGGATTTGGGACATTTGTAATGAACGACAATGCTTCTTGAGTATCATAAACAATGGAACACGTACTTTAAACACAAAACCATGTAGTAGAACCCAATATCCTATTAATTAAAGTGACGCTCCGTCGAGAGTTATTCCGTTTCAAAGACACTATCACACTTAAAACATATCCTATCGTCGAAGATGGCCTATAATAACTGTAAGTAAATAACATCCATCTATACTAAGAATGAATTAGTTAACAGTTCAAGATCAACGAGTCATACGCGTGAGGTAGGTATATTCCAGTATCCCGGTTGAGTTCTGGCTGGTTTCTTCTGATGTGAATCGCTTCAAGAATTTTCCTGGTCTTCTGGTGCCAGGTCACGGCTAGCGTCTGTGTCGAGTCCCAATTTTATACACGGTGCCGTCTATTATTACTTAGATGTTCTGCTACTGCAGATTGGTTGTATGTTATCCATAAAGTTGTAGTTTATTATATATCCCGTTCACTAAATGCCTTTCAAAGATACAAGAACGTCTTTTTACAAAATTATCATTAATATGATTTATCTATCGGTCAATTTTGTATAGACTTGTAGTTTTTATACCAAGCCATTTTAGAATGTAATGCATTTGGGTGGGGGTTTTATTTTGGTTTTGTTAATTAAGCAGTTGGAAGATTAAAATGTAAAGCAATAATTTTTCGAGCATCAAAGAAGTAGAATACATTTAGTTATCTCATTCAGTTGTCTTTTCTTTCATCGTTTTGTTGAACATGTTGCTCGAACATGTTAAACGGAAATTGTTTGTAAATTGTAACAAATTCTACTTTGGCAGGGGTTTCTTTTCATATCTTAAATTAGCTTTCTCCATCCACAGACACGCCGAAAGCAACACATAAGTTCCATACACATGTACAACACAGGATCGTAGAAATAGTTTACGCATTGAATTCAATGGTAAATTAGCCCATTCACAGCAGAACGACCAATATTTCATTTCATTTCAATAAACTATAACAAATATTTATGGCACCAACAGTTAATACAGTAATACAAATACAAATTACACATAACACATATTTATGGCACCAACAGTTAATACAGTAATACAATACAAATTGTTTATTAACTAGGTTTATTAACTGCAACGTTTGAATGAGGACCACTCGCGCCGTTAGCAAGCAAAGATACAATGAACACGTTACAGAAGGTTATATACAAACGGATAACAATAGTTGATGGTCCTGGTCATTTTTTTCCCTGAGTGTCAAACTTTGCCGAGGTCTCGAGGTCTCGAAGTTAAGTATCATTTTAATTTATATCAATATGAGCTTTATGCCGAGGTCTCAAAGTTAAGTATCATTTAAATTTATATCATAAACGTGAACAGGGCCAACCATCCCCTGTCTTTTAAAAAGGTCCATAAAGGTACAAGTTAGTTTGTGGTGGAAATACACACCGCGTTTTCGTTGGAAATGCCGAAACCCGGGATCGAACCAGGGACCTTTAGATCTTCAGTCTAACGCTCTCCCAACTGAGCTATTTCGGCCCGTAGGTGCCCAATTTTTCCTCGCCATCAGCCGCCACTTTTTGCTTTGGCGATATAAAAATATTTAGCCAATGTCCCGTCCCGTATACTGATACTTTAAAGCTCTCTTAGTTTGGGGATGTAGCTCAGTGGTAGAGCGTTTGCTTCGCATGTGAAAGGCCCCGGGTTCAATCCCCGGCATCTCCAATAGCTCCCATCAGCTTATTTTTTGGAAACATTAAAACGGCAGGACACATATACGTGATGTCAGCTGCGATGGCCGAGTGGTTAAGGCGTTGGACTTGAAATCCAATGGGTTCTACCCGCGTAGGTTCGAATCCTGCTCGCAGCGAAAAAGCTTTTGTTCTCATTTATTCTGACAAATTTCGGACATACTCCCTTTACTTACTATAGATTGGCGCTGCCGTTTCGCATTCGCATTTGGAGGCGTGACATCAATTAAAGGTTGTATTGGGGATGTAGCTCAGTGGTAGAGCGTTCGCTTTGCATGTGAAAGGCCCCGGGTTCGATACCCGGCATCTCCATAAGAAACTTTTTGACTTGTATAGACACACCCCACTGTGTGCGGTGTTCGGTTCGTTTCGTCAACACCACATATCGTCTCCGATATGGTCTAGCGGTTAGGATTCCTGGCTTTCACCCAGGCGGCCCGGGTTCGACTCCCGGTATCGGAACAATGTTTTTTGCGATATTGATTGCGTTTTCTACCTGAAATACGATCTATTTTTGAATAGCCTTTACAATGCCCCAATTGTAACGGGCCCGGTTAGCTCAGTCGGTAGAGCATCAGACTTTTAATCTGAGGGTCAAGGGTTCGAGTCCCTTATCGGGCTGTCTGAATTTTTGCGCTATTTCATTCATTTTAGCTAGGGTTCGGGTTAAATGAATGCCTACATTTATCGTCTACACTAAAAACACACTTCCCAAGCGGGGAATCGAACCCCGGCCGCCGCGGTGAGAGCGCGGAATCCTAACCACTAGACCACTTGGGATGGTGAAAGGCTTTAGAC